TACTTTTCTGTCGATACTAGTTTTGAACCTTTTGTTAACATTTTAATATGTTTTTTTCGTAATTAATTAGTATGATACCAGCGGATACACCATAGGCGTAGTAAAAACATTTATCAAAAATATAAATATTGCTTCAAGCGGCTATGTTAAGAAAAATATGTGCCACGGCACTGTTTGGAAGAAAGGTCACAATTTGGTCTCGTGTGCTATTTGTCCTTGTATTCTTTAGTTATTGGAGTTTTTTGACATGAGAAATTTGATTTTAATGTCAATATGACCCCTACTTGTAGAGGGCGCCACCTACATATTTTTAACTGGTTTGAAGAGTAATAACTTTTCGTCCATACCTGTATAAAACTACTGAGAAAAAATATACATTTACGACTTTTTTGCGTAAAAAAGGTCTCTTGGTAAAAATTGCTAAAAGTAATGGTTCTCGAGATATTTGGAATCGAAATTATCAATACCTGTCATCATTGACATAAATTAAACATGTTGACTAAAGCTTGATTTTTATGCAAAACGGTTAACCAATCAAAGCCTTTAAATTCAACCAATAAAATTAATATTGTATCATCGTATCGTCGGACAACAGATGCATGAAAATCAAGCTTAAATTGTTATTAGGCTGAAATCATAAATTAAGATATACATTTTTCAAAGAAACTGTTCTATCATAATTTTTTCGCAGAAAAATTAATGATTCGTTTTTAAAAAATAAAAATTTATTGTTTCGGTCAAATCACTGTACTCAACGTGTGTTTATTTTTGTCAATAATGACATCTATTGGCTATTTCCATTCTAAAGATCTTGAGAAAGGTTGATCGTAGCGATTTTTACCAAGAGACATTTTTTACGTAAAAAGTCATGGAATTGTGTATTTTTTCACTCAGTAGTTTTATATAGGTACGGACGAAAAGTTATAACTTATAAAATTCAAATCAGTTGAAACACATGTAGGTGGCGCCCACTACAAACTACAAATAGGAGTCACATTGACATCAAAATCAAATTTCTCATGTCAAAAAACTCCCAGACACCAATTTTCATCTAAATATTGACGTTACTTCAGAAATTATTTGGAAAAAATCGATATGAAAATAAAACTTCTATACCCTGTATCTCCGAAACTAAGCAATTCAGGGTATACATTTAAAAGAACTTTTTTACTTATTTTTATCTGCAGAATATGCAGCCGAAGTTTCCGGAATACAGTTCGGACCACCCTGTATAAAACAAGTGTCTATAGTCTATATAAGGAACAACTGCCACGTAATGACTAAAATATTAGTATAAGTAAATTTTCAGGTAGCTCTTAGTAATCTGATAAAGTTTTTTGTCACTCTGATTATTACTGTGCGTTGCTGAACATAGGAAATCCTGAACAGAGCATGAGAATTTTATAAATTATGAATAAGATTTCCCCTTTTTATTTTACAGAAAAAATTATTTGAAACTTTTTAAATAATTCTTTAAAATGAAACAACTTCTTAATTTTCAATAATTTATATGAATTCGTTTTTGAGTAATGAGAGGTACAAAAATACTAAATTAGGCGAAAATTAAAAATAACACGGTCCTGGTCAAACAAACATAACAATTACAAATTATGTTACAATATGACGAATCTATTATGATTTTCTTCTACAGAGATCTGTCAAAATACTCTCAGTTATATTCTCCATGAAAAGTTACAAAAATACACTATAAACATGATAAAAAATCGAATATACTTAAGTAAAGACACCGCTTCAGAAGAAAATGTATTTATTAAACACTAAACAATTCACAAAGTGAGTACTTGAATTATCAATTGGAAAAAATTTGGCCTGCCTTTTTCACTCGCGTCCAATAATTATTCTTCATGTTCGTAATATTTAAATGGCTTAAAATTATGATTCTTCAGAATTCGCCAAGCAGTTCTGCGATGTTTTACGACAATTTCTCCAAGTATTCCGGTACTTACTTATTTTTCATCTTCCACGTGTAACAGAATGTTTAATTAATTTTCATTTATTATTTCTATATTATGATCTTCCTCAATATTATTTTTCTTTTTGTATTAGTCAATCTTTACTGTTCCTGATGGAATTCTTCTTTTTTTCATTTATACCGTTTAATAATAATTAGTGTTCTAGCCTCTTTGAAAAATGTCTAGAAAATAAATCCTTTATATACAGGGTTCGTTCCTTTATATACAGAGTCTTAAATAAGTGCAAATATTTTCAGGGGTGGTATATTTCGACCCCAGGAACACGTCTATGAGGTTTTTTTGCAAAAAAAAAGATGTTGAAAATCGTGCATTTTCTTTTAAATTTCCCTGTATATTTTTCGAAAACTTTTTAGAACTGCCTGTTCACTGCAAATTTTCCCACGGTATAATTTCTTAATCTCTGATATTGCCATAGTTATGGCTTTACTCAATGGTTACGGCACTATAAGGGATGCAAATACAGAAAAAATCCGGTGGCTTTCAAAATTTAAAAAAAATCATTTTTTTTTTTAACATAAATTACTCGGTTATTTTGGACTTATCTGAAAAATGGTAAAGAGAAAATATGTTTCTTTTATCGAGATCTACCAGCCCTTAAAATATTTGCACATATTTAAGACTCACCCTGTATATATAGGGAAAACTTATTCATGCATTTTAATCAGGGTGCAAAAAAATCACGATCTTCTTTAAAAAAAATCGATTTTTTGGATTTTAATCGGATTTTTAAATGATTTTTTTTGTTTTTAAATTGGATTTCCAGCTAATTAACGACTCATTTCCAATTTTTTTTATTCTGTAAATTTTACCAATGCCTATATTTTCGCTAAAAAAGTCGCCCGTTTAGATCAAGGGATTTTGTTTGGAAATAGTCATGACTGTCTTAAATTGGAGAATAAAATTACAAATCCATCTAATATTCAAAATGCAAAGTACTTATTGCAGAACAAAATGTCGGTAGAAATTGTGCGCTAGAAATTTGGAAAGAACTAAAAAGATAAATTGGAGAAGGCAGAAGTTAGCTTAATCAACATACAGTTATTTAAACAAATTAAAACAGCCTTGACACCAGCATATTTTTTGACATTTATTATAGAAACTCTGAAATTAAAATATCCTAACAGCAGGAGAAACTAGTTGGCACTAGAGTTTGCGAATGAAATGTATTCGAACACCGGATTTCTATCACTTCGCCATTTCAAAATAAATTTCTGTTGTTTAGAAGTCTAATGGATTCACGCGAAAGTACTTCAAAAATCGGTCCAACATTTTAATACATGAATAGATGGGGACATTTTAATACATGAATGAATGGTATACCGGGTGTGTCTCAAAAGTAGCTCACCCCTATAACTTTTTATTTTTTCAGATAAAAAAAAAGAGATTTGGATATGCAATAAATTAAGATTTTTTTTAAAGAGTTTTTGGTCACTTCCTGGTTCACCGGAAATGACTACAACTTTTGATTTTTAAATAACACCCTGTATATTTTTGCTTTATTCGATAAAAAATGACACTCTGAATAGAATGACATATCATATGTATGTCAACTTTTGACATTTTCCCTTTAAAAAAATCGTATTTTGAAATTTAATCTAGAGTGCCATGGCTGTGTTAAAAACACTAATTTTTAATCAAGGAGCCGTGGAAAAAAAGATTTGATCGTTTTGTTTTTCGTGTCTTGTCCTGTCCAGTGCCATGAAAGGCAATTTATACTTATCACTTTGGATGATTCATCCAAGTTGTACATCCAAAGTGACAAATGTAAAGGAGCCTTAAGTTGCCATTTAGAAAGTTGTAGTAATTTCCGGTGAAACAGGAAGTGACCAAAAACAATTGAATATGCTGCAATCCTAATTTATGTCATATACTAACATACGAAATCTCGTTTTTTTATCTAAAAAAATAAAGAAGTTATAGAGGTGAGCCACTTTCATCAGTTTCATGGCTAATCTTACTGTAGGTTTGCCCAATAATTTCGTTCTTCTTTTTTATTACAGTCCCCATGATAACATCTCTTGTTTATTATAAATTTATACTTATGTAAAATGTAAAATTATAAAATAAATTAAATCCAAATAAAATTAAATTAAAGAAGTTAAAAGATAACCAATTCTTATTTTATTTGTTATTTTATTTAGGTGTATGAATGCGTATACGGTATCCCATATAACCAACTTTCTTATTTTATTCTTATTTTATTTTATTTGGCTGTATGAACCTACCATTAATCAGAGAGAGCCACCATTAATCAAGAAATGCGAAGTATTTATATATAACCACTTAATCCGACGCTAGATTTCATGCGCTTGGGAAAACGCTTGCTCTTTTGTCTTCATTCAGTACATCTTATTTTACTAAGCGTCTTTACCTTACTCTTCGTACACACGAAAATCGACGCCGAAGGCCAGAAGTGTCAACCCTAGTATATATTTTACAATTATTTTTCAATTTATTAGTAACGAGCATTTAAACAGTACATTAAGTTATAACAGCAAGTGTAACTTTTTATTTTGTGAATAGATATAGGGTATATTTGTTAGGATATGTATAGGGGAATAGTTTTTTTATAGCTTTATAGAAAAACGTTTTATAACTTTTACAGTTATTTTTCGATTTATTATAAGTTTTATTAAAATAAAAAAAATCCGTTGATATAAATCTTTGCACCCTGGATTTCCTATGTTCAGGTCGGCTATGCAACAGACTGTATACACATTAGAATAGTATTTCAATAATATGTATCATTTATATAAAAAAAGGAAAATATTAAACGGCCTAGCCCTCAACAACTCGCAACCATATACACTGTACACGGTTGCGAGTTGTTGAGGGCTAGGCCGTTTTATTTTTTCCTTATTTTTTATATATTTCCCTCACTATTTCAATCTTGTTCATATCATTTGTATACCTGTTTATTTTTTACAGTTCTTTTTATGTTCCTCTTTGTTATTTATTTTTTTGAACGTTTTTGGTTAATTATTAATTATCATTTTATTATATTAGATGCAAGTGACGATGGTGCTGAAGAGAATGAACAAAATGATGACAGTGACGAAGAAGATGACGATGACGATGATGATGACGAGGAAGAGGAAGAGGAGGACGACGATGATGATGATGAAGATGATGAATCTGATGAAGCGCCGGCGCCTCAGGTTAGTAAGAAAGGAAAACCAAGTAAAAAGAAATAAATCTTAGGAAATTTGAATGTATCAAAATTAATGTGCAACCATATAGTATAGTATCATTTTTTTTTCAATCTTTCTTGTCCGTTTACCATGATTTGGTAATGCTGTTTTATTAAATGTATTTTTATATAATTATGAAAGTTTTCTGTAAAAAATTATTCAGATAAGTTTCCTATTAATAATACTATTTACTAATGTTAATTATATTAGTTTCTGTTAAAATTTTCATTATTAGAAAATTTTGTAATATGTGTGATCGCGTTATATTGTATGTTAAGACATTAAATTTTTTAAAGTATTTTATAGCATATTATTTACTATACATACCTCACCTAAAAAATATTGAAAGAATTTTCCCTTTAGGGAAAATCGGCACAACAAAAGATGAAACCGAAACAGTCCACAGTTATTGATAAATCAAAAGCAGTTGACATAAATGATCTTAAAAAAACTGAACTTGTTGGAAAGGGACAAAAAAGATTTGTGCTGTTTGTCGGAAATATTCCTTATGATTCTACAAAACAAGATTTGTTAAGTCATTTTAGTAAAGTTGGAGACATACAGCATATTAGAATACCCACAGAAAAAGACACTAACAAACCAAGAGGTTTTGCTTATGTCGAAGTAAAAGATGAAATAACTTATCAGGTAAATAAAAATATACTTTACCTTGCATAATAAGTTCATCCCTTAACTGGTCGCTTAATTTTTAGAAATGTCTTTCAATGCACCATTCACAGCTGAAAGGTCGTAGAATAAATGTTTTATATACTCAAGGTGGTAAAAAGAAAGGAGACGAACGAAAAAATCAAATAAAAGTTAAAAACATGAAGCTACATGCTCTGAGAAAACAAGGTAAATTGGCTGGCAGTGTCAAACAGTCACAGAAAAGATCTTTTAGAAGGAATAAAATCAAACAAGAAAAGGTGTAAAGTTTAGCATAGGAATGTAATGTGAAATTTATTTTTTATAATTAAGATAGCAATAGTGATAAATATTTAGTACATACATTAAATACTACTGTTGAGTGTCACTACTGCACTTTGTTATTATTTGATAAAAAGTTTGAAAAATATGTTTCAATTTATAAAGACTTACATATATTTTTTTTTCAGTATTTATATAATAAAATTAGATTTTTAGGTATATATGATACGGTTAAAGTCCGATGATCAGTTAATGTTGACATTAACAGGTTAATGTTAGGTTTAGGTTATGTTTTTGGTTGTTTGTTGTGTGTTATTTTTGAGATTAACTGGGTAATGTCGACATTAACCGGGCATCGGACCTTAACCATAACATATACACAAAGTGTTTCAAAAAACATGCGCCATGTCTCGTGGGTAGATTCCTCACGTAAAAATATGATTTTTTTTATATTAACATAGATTCTGCTTTGTTTTGTAACTACAGGAGGTTAAAGTCTTCTTTCTTTTCTGTTGTATTTTCTTCCAAGTGTTTTTAGCGATTCGAATTAATTTTGAGGGTAAAAGTTATATCTACTATAAGTGCGGCGACATATTTTAATGCTTTGAATAAGAAGACTAAGGAAGGAGCATAATGCTATCCATGTATTCATGCATGGTGGGCGGAAAAAGCACCATAAAAGCACTCTAGGGTGGGGATCCTTGACAGTTCTGTATGACGATTCATTTGACACATTTGAATTTGATTTGAAATTTTGCGGATTTGTCAGTCTTTACGGGGCTTATTTTATGTTATTTATTATTTATTCTACTTCTGATAGTTGTATAAAGGTAGTAAATCTAGATGGAAATTGTGGCAAAACTTAAATTAACAGTGACACTATCGCGATTTATCGAAAAAGATTCTAAAATAGTTGGTTGTGTAGCGTGCGGTAGATCTCGGCAAAAATTGAGTGAAATAATGGAACAACTTTTCGCTAGTAAGTGACTATATAATATAAATACATATATTGCATACATACATTATATATACATATAATGTATGGGTTTCACATATATATAGCAGGGACAGTTGGTTTCCCTTATTATTGTCCCTAACTGGTACCTTTACCTCTGGAGCATATTTAGCGAAGAAAACTTGGATATCTCTGGGAAGAGTTTGTATACTGGCTCTTTCCGTTATTAATACATATATTTATATGTATATTATTAATAGTATAATATTATTATTAGTATTACATATAAATATATGTATTAATAACGGAAAGAGCCAGTATACAAACTCTTCCCAGAGATATCCAAGTTTTCTTCGCTAAATATGCTCCAGAGGTAAAGGTACCAGTTAGGGACAATAATAAGGGAAACTAACTGTCCCTGCCATATATATGTGAAACCCATAAAACTACTAGTTTTTTCAACTAATGCAATAAATTTGTTCCCAAAAACTACAGTGATAGATCTACCTATAGAAGAAGACTAAACATTTAGATGATCTTCCAGTGGTTAAAAATAATGTTTTTTAATATTTAAAAGGTTCTGTTTGGTTTATATTATTATAATATGTTCGGTATGATTTAGTTTTTGTGGCAAAGTTATATTTTTTTTATTTTGAATACTAAAAATATTAATGTGTTAAATAACAGATTGTTATAAACGCAATCGAAAAAAATTATTAACAATTTAAAATTACATCAAATAAAACAAAATAATTAAATAATATGATAACTATTTTACTTACATAAGCGGGCGCGTAGCGGCACGGAGTACTGCAACTTCTGGAGTTGCCAGGTTTACAACAGAATTACTACTGAACCAAAATCGCTGGATACGCAACTACTACGACACAGGGTGTCAAATATCCCTGAATAAAAATAATTAATGGTACCACCGCCCTACGCCCAATTGATATTTTGTTTTAACGAAATTAGTAAAATTGCGGTACAAAATTCCGGACGCGCCCGCTCGAGGGTTAATGTCATAAACTGACCAAAGAGTTAAATAAGTACTCACTGCTTCCTCCTCAAAAAGTATCAAAAAAAGGTTCTATAAACATGGGTGCGGAAATGTATAGCTTTAAAGTTACAGGATGTTAAAACTTTTAAAAAATATAGGTCTTTTGAAATTAACTTAAACACTATTATTTTCTTTTAATTCGCTGTAGGTAGCGCTAAACATCAATGTCATAAATTCTAGTAAAATTTAATAATAAATTTTAGATTAAATAAATAATTTATTAATTTTATTTTAACTAAATTGTGATTAACAAAATTGTGTTTATCTTACCAATCAACCCCCTGTCGCTACGAAACAAAGCAGAATTGAACCTATGTAGATATAAAAAATATCTTTGTTTCGTGAGAAATTTCCCCACGGCACATATTTTTTGCAACAACCTGTATTTATTGCAAAAATACATAGATGTTTTAGTTTGAAATATTTATTCTTGGGTTGATTTAATCTGTAATGCCAATCACAGTTCGTTTTGGGTTGGGTAAAATATCAAGCAAGAAATGTATGTTTAATATATTTTTTTATTTCGCAAGAAATAAGTAGTATTTTTTGGCCCAAAATCACAGTCAGCGACTTTCAAAAACTACTCGCATTAGAACATTGAGATTTGATATGTGCATGGAATTAAAAAATATTTGTAGAATGTAGAATGAGTGGAAGGGGGGTTAATCACCCCGACCTTAAATATCTATTGCTTCCCTCTTTCTTGAGTTATATATAATATGTACAGGTTGTTAATCTGTTTATTACTCGCGGCAAGAGCTTTATGTTTGAAATATGGCAACCTCGGCCCGCTCGTCGATGGACGACGCGACGGGACGAGTCGGAAGAAAACCCTATGTGCATGCGTTCTCAATAGGCAGTGTTGCCATTCTGTTCCCCTATAAGTAACTGTCCAGTTAACAATCTGTATATAAATATCGTACAGTCTATAACTCATACATGGTACATGGAGATCTTTCTGTTGTAGGGGGACAGGGTATTTCCCATCCTCCTCTGAAAAGAGATGTACATTCTCCGAGGAGTGGACATCTACCTCCTACATGGGTATACAGCTCCTACCTGCATATACAGGGTGAGTCTTAAATAAGTGCAAATATTTTCAGGGGTGGTATATTTCGACCCCAGGAACACGTCTATGCGGGTTTTTTCGCTAAAAAAAGATGGTGAAAATCGCGCATTTTCTTTTAAATTTCCCTGTATATTTTTCGAAAACTTTAAAACTGCCTATTCACCGCCAATTTTCCCACGGTATAGTTTCTTAAACTCAGATATTACGATAGTTACGGCAATAAAAGGGATGCAAATACAGAAAAAATCCAGTAGCTCACAAAATTTTAAAAAAATCATTTTTTTTTTAAATTTTCAAACTTAAATAGTCGGCTTTTGGACTTATCTGGTAAAGTGGTAAGAGAAAATGTTTCTTTTATCGAGATCTACCAGCACTGAAAATATTTGCACTTATTTAAGACTCACCCTGTATAGTGGCAGCTTCGATCTTTCAACATGCTAAATATTTTTAACTGCGCGCAGCACAGATTTGACCGGAACCATACTAGACTCTAGACTGACGAAATTATCTGTTATAAAATCTGAAAGTGTAGTGTGAAAAGATCGATCTGGTCTTAAGATCTGAACTGTGCGATTTGGCATGCAGATGAAATCGTTGCGTGTAGGACCACAGTAGTATCACTCTATATAAAAAAATCACAAATTTTCGGAGTGAATACCAAGGTACACGGCATCAATATTATGTTTTATAATTTTGTATAAATATCTTATCTATTACAGGTTGGTATTATTTTTAAAATGGCGACGAGCGGCTTGCCTTAAATATAAGTATTTGTAATTGATAAAAAATTGAAAGGTTAAAATCTATATACAGGGTGGTCCGAACTGTATTCCGGAAACTTCGGCAGCATATTCTGCAGATAAAAATAAGTAAAAAAGTTCGTATAAATGTATGTCCTAAAATGCTTAGTTTTGAAGATACAGGGTGTAGAAGTTTCATTTTTATTTCGATTTTTTCCAAATAATTTCTGAAGTAACGTCAATATTTCGATGAAAATTGGTGTCTGGGAGTTTTGTGACACGAGAAATTTGATTTTGATGTCAAAATGACTCCTATTTGTAGGGGCGCCACCTACATGTGTTTTAACTGTTTTGTAGAGTAATAACTTTTCGTCCGTACCGGTATAAAACTACTGACTGAAAAAATATACATTTCCATAACTTTTTACGTAAAAAATGTCTCTTGGTAAAAATCGCTACAAGCAACCGTTCTCAGGATATTTAGAATGGAAGTCAATACATGTCATTATTGACAAAAAAACAAGCACACGTTGAGTATAGCTATTTGACTGAAATAATTTTTTATTTTTTTAAATTAATCATTTTTTTTCTGCGAAAAAATGATGATTAAACAATTTCTGTTTAACTTTTGATACAAAAAGATTTCAAATTTATGATTTCAGTTTAATAACTAGTTAGTTAACATGTTTAATTTATGTCAACGATGGGTATTGACTATTCCCATTCCAAATATCTCGAGAACCATTACTCTTAGCGATTTTTACCAAGAGACCTTTTTTATGTAAAAAAAGTCGTAAATGTATATTTTTTTACTCAGTAGTTTTATACAGGTATGGACGAAAAGTTATTACTCTTCAAACCAGTTAAAAAATATGTAGGTGGCGCCCTCTACAAGTAGGAGTCATATTGACATGAAAATCAAATTTCTCATGTCAAAAAACTCCCTAATACCAATTTTCATCCAAATACTGGCGTTACTTCAGAAATTATTTGAAAAAAATCGAAATAAAAATGAAACTTCTACACCCTGTATCTCCAAAACTAAGCATTTTAGGACATACATTTATACGAACTTTTTTACTTATTTTTATCTGCAGAATATGCTGCCGAAGTTTCCGGAATACAATTCGGACCACCCTGTATACAGGGTGTCCCACTTAAGATGGATACAAGCCAATATCTTGATGGTTTGTTGAGCAATCTTTTTCATTTTTGGCAGGAGGCTGTATGGCTATAAGACGTACATTTTGCCCAGGGTAAGAAATGCGATATCTCATAGACGTACGTTTTAATGGGGTTTGATATTTTTCGAGTCGAGAGTAAACTACCGTTAGGACAGTATTTATTTCAAATCTGAAAAATTATATTGAATCCTCCTTACCTAAGATACTTAAGTTCTAATTTTGATAAATATTGATACAGGGTGCGTCATTAAAATAAGACATTTTTATTTTTATTATTATTTTTTTAAGTACTTACGACGCCACTGGATAAACAACAGGTCTATTATGAATAACCAACTATCAATTAATAATCTATTTAAGTTTTCAGATAGCTTCCATAATAATTAAGATACGATACAAAAAAACTAAATATCTTCAATTTATTTTGTTTACTTTAAAAAATTGTTTTTTAAGTTTGCTAATACAAATGAATAAAATGAGTTACAAAATAATTTAAAAACCCAGTTTATCTTCGACCAAACCACCATAAAAAAAGATTATTAATTGATAATTGGTTACTGATAATAAACTAATTGTTTATCCAGTGGCGTCGTAAGTATTTAAAAAAAATAATAAAAATAAAAATGTCTTATTTTAATGATACACCTTGTATCAATATTTATCAAAATTAGAACTAAAGTATCTTAGGTAAGGAGGATTCAATATAATTTATCAGATTTGAAATAAATTCTGTCCTAAGGGTAGTTTAAGAGTAAACTACCCTTTACTCTTGACTCGAAAAATATCAAACCCCATTAAAACGTACGTCTATGAGGTATCGCATTTCTTACCCTGGGCAAAATGTACGTCTTATAGCCATACAACCTCCTGCCAAAAATGAAAAAGATCGCTCAACAAACAACCAAGATTTTGGCTTGTATCCATCTTAAGTGGGACACCCCGTATATATAAAATGATGAAAAGGTAACATAATTCATACATGTATTTTATGAAATGTGTACACATTTATTTATAGTTATAACTTACAATATCACAGTAGTTCTGATGTCTGACATAAATTTGAATTGTGTAAAAAAGGCACAGAATTATATTAAATTGATTTCAAAAGGTGTTTATAATTTGTTACATAAAACAACTGAAATTTATATAATTATAAAATGTAACTACTTAAAGTGCACATATAATTGAGCATATTTAACAACTTCATTAGTTATAATTAACTAATAAATAGATTTTTATATAAAAATGTTAAATATTGCCCCTATTAACTTGTAGAATAAAGTCGGCTACTCACTAAGAAACATGTTGACAATATCTTATTAAAATATTTTTTTAGATACATTTTTCATCGTTTTATAGGCTTGGTACATTTCAGTTGATTTCAATAAATTCCGACCGCAGCGCTTCAACGGCAGAAATCAGAAATTATCAGTATGTATTTCACGTCATGTTGATCGCATTAAAATAATATTGAAATCGTGGTTTTGTCATAATATTTAAGTGTATATTAGTTTTTCGCTGGTGCAGTTATTGAGACTATAACATATTCAGGTACGAGGTTTGTGTGATGTAACGCTGTTTCGGGTAGTAAAAAATAAGTGAAAATTAATTCGAACTAGGCGTCGTGTTGTGTTGTGACAATTTCAAATGTTAATAAAATTGCCGAAAAATTGATAGCACGTAAAGGAGAGCGTAATTAGGGCGTAATAATAACTCAAGATCTTCTAAAATTATAATTATATGTACCTTTACAAAATTTCGTTATAACCGAAATAGCCCCAGTTATGCCCCACTAGCAAAACCGGTGATTAAAACTATATGCTCGCTACCTAGTTGAACTCATTTAAAAAGTTTTTTTAACTGGAATAATAAATTATAATACAAGTTAGACCTTCTCAAGATATCAAAATATTTACTTTTTTATTTTTATTTTTAGAATTTTCACAAATTATACTCCCTAACACTTTTAGAATAATTAAATAATAAATTTTTCGTATACTCGCTATTTTTAGTCTTGTTTACGATATTCTCGGATGATGGCAGCACCGGTGGAGAATGCACCAAGCCTATAGAAATTTTTCATCAATTAATTTTATTAGTATATATGCAATACTAATTTTTTGCCTTACGCATGGTTAAAAAAGATGTCAATTTATCCATTTAAATATTATTTATTGAAATTGTTGTGTCAATTCTTAGTGAATGACATAAAAAGTCAATCCAATAAAACTATTATTGATTATCACTTCCAAGGTTCCTGTGACGTTTTTTTGTTTTCGATCATGGCATCTCAGCAATAGAAAATCTGCGTCGAACTTAATTTATATAGTATTGCAATTTCTACAAATATGTTCAAAACGATCCTCTTTCTAGGATGTTAAAACTTTTGTTATAATCTTTTTTATTTTTTTCTGGAGTTTTTACTTTTTACAGTACAAATACATCATGTAACCAATCTTATATAAAACCCTTATCTGCCGCGATATTTCTATTTATATTACATACTATCAGTACAATTTTTAAAAGCTTATCAGTCTTCTATTTAATAGAAAGTTATTATTTACTCCCACAAAACGATTTATTTAAGTCGTAAATAACCGTCTGACCAAGCTGGCTTTGGACTTTATTAAACGTTGATAGGTATCATTTTTCATAAAAAAATATTTCTATGTCATTATTCAGAGCCTGCTTAATCATAAAACTTTTTAATCACGCTGTAAAATATTTTACTTTATACAAAAAAACTTCCAAAAAATAGGATATAGCAAAACAATAGATTTTAAATCTTCCAAAAATATTTTCTACATGAAAAGGGTCCCTATATTTCCATAAAATATTTAAAAAAAATACTGTTACTGCCTAAAAATCTAAGCTATTTGTTGTTAATATTCGTGTATATGTCATTAAATTTCATTGCAAAAATACAACTAAAACCGTTAAAAAAAGTTATTTTCAAAAAAAGTATAAATTGTTATTCAATGTTCAACAATGACAATATGTTCTTTAGAAAGTGGCCAGTTAATTCTAACCTTGTATATGAATTTTTAAAGTAGCTCAACCTAAGACGTTTATGGATGTAAAGCACCAGATGGCGGGGCGTATTTCACAGTCTTTTATTACAGAAAAATATTTTTTGTTACTCTGAATTTTGAAGCGACCAATAAAAACAGAGAAAATAAAAATCGATAATTTTCAGACTGTGCCAATTGGTTACTAGCCGACCAGATACTTTTTATCTGTTAGATATGCTATAAAAGCTGGTAATTATACAATTCGACCATTGTAAATACCCGACAAATTCCGCAAGACCGACGAGGCCGATGTTTTTCACTGATAAGGAAAAAAAATGTTTGTATAGATAATTTTCGAAATATTTTTTCTTTCTGAATGCATATTTTTAAAGTATTTTATATTCTTTGTCCGCTTGATCTATTTTACTGGTCGCACGTATCGAAATTCTGTTTCTTCTAGTTTTAAAAAATGTTCTTATTTCTTTGTAGTTGTATAGTGGTTGTAGTGTAAAATTAGATTAATTTTATTAAGTTTAATTATAATGTTTAGTGTAGAATACCAGAAATAGTTTAGTAGTGTTTGTATAGTTTATTTTGTAGTTAAGTAGTAGGTGAAGGGATAATTTGGTTATTTTTTCTTTTTGTTTGATTAATTAGTATTAGTTGATAATTTTTTCAGTGTAGAATACAAGAAGTAGTTGTGTAGTGTTTTTATAAGAGATTATATTCGTTTATTTTGTAGATGAGTAGTAGGTGAAGGTATTTGGGTATTTTTTCTTTTTGTTTTTCTTCTAATTGTAGTAATTCTATTAAGTATTGTGATAGATACACTATATGTATCTTCCTTCAACTTCGTTGAAAAGTGCGTTATCATATAATTTTAGTTTTCTGGTAGTAGAATATACGAAAAAAAATCTGATCAAATTTATTTTAAATTAAATTAATCGAGTCTTATTAATCAAATTAATCTAGTCAAATAATAACAATAGTTAGTTTCTAAATACTATACAGGGTAAGTTTCCTGCGATGTTCTCTATGGGTATCTCGGAAACTACTGTTAGAGAGAGTCGGGTAAATGGGGAAAGAATTGCAGTTTTGTGGGGTCATAAATATGCGTCTTTCGGATTTTTCGGAGAAGTTCAAGGCTTATTAGATATTTCGAAAAAAACAAATTTTGACTATCTTAAAACTTGTCTCTAATTCCATTATAATCTACCGTATGATCAAATAAAAACGGCGTCAACGATGGCTATGAAATGAAGATCGTTGTCATTTTATATGTAAAATTATATGGGAAATATCATCGATCGTCATTTCATAGCCATCGCTGACGCCGTTTTTATTCGATCATACGGTATTTTAGACAAAAAGTTTTCAGATAAAAGTTGTAGATACCTAATGAATTTGTGTTTTCTGTTTTTTTTTTCTAAAGCCTGTCATTTTTGACATATGACACAAACATGTTTTTTTTTAAATGGAGACCATAGAAAGCGCCATTTTTTAAGCTTTTCAGCGATATATGTAGGTATAATATGTTTTTTTTTTCGAAAAATTGCAAGTTATAGCCAATTCTTTTCTTTCTTGGCTAATTTCCATACCAATAATAACATGCCAATTAGTTGGCATCAAAAATGTAAAAAGTGTTATGTTTTCAAAAGAAAAATATCGTAACATTCGTAAAGCATTCAATTTAGAATAAAATAATCTAAGCATGAAATGATTCTTTTATAAACCTGCATTAAATTAAATTAAAATAGGTATGTAACTTTTTTTAAATATTAATTAACAGCAATTAGCATTATCATAAATTATAAATAATGTACCAGCATATCGAAATAATAATTTCTTTGTTGTAATACGTTTTAGAATTTTTAAAATAACAGGCAAAAATAATCCACAATTTATATAAAAGAAAAGTTTCGTTTAAATTTCTTAATCAGCTGATCACTATTAAAGTTCGCAGAAACCCGGCCTATATTATTACATTACTCTGATGAAAATAACGAAAATAATCGATACTTTTGACTCCGCCCCGAAAGGTTCACGATTTGTCCTCCAGTTGGCAGCACATTTTGTCTAGTCGGTTGAGCAACTTTAAGAATATATAAACAAGGATGCTAATAACTAAAAATATATCAGGTTGATAAGAAAATATTATGTTATAGTTTAAACTAAGCTTAGTCTTCCTCTTCTTCTCCATCTAAAAACTTCATTATTGCATCTCGCACGTCCATATTGGCAGAAAAATTCGTATTGGCAAGTGTACAATTAGTCATGGGACTGGTATATTTACCGGACATAAACCATTCAGCAATAGCGTTCTTCTCATACGTAAACCCATCCGAACAAGTTACTGGTTCTCTCATTATTTCATGTGTTATTGGACATAGAAATTCATCAGGAATAGTTACATTTACTGGTGCTTGAATCTTTAATTCAACTTTTTTAAGCCACTTTAGTTCGTTTATCATTACTCTAGTCGTCTCGTCATCTAAAAAAAATCATTAAAAGACTGTGAGAAAAAAAAACGTTTTATAAATATTACCAAGGTCCAGTCCTGAGCAAACTTCGATTTCCGAAAAAGTTAATAATTTTTCTCCATCTAATCCTGTGTTTTTTACGTTTTCAGCTATTCTAGACATACCAATTTCGTCCAGCCATTTGATAACATCGTGATTAGTCCATTCTGCTATTGTTTTAGTGCGACTTCTCAGTTTATTAGCTATGGCTGTTTGAAAGACCTAAAATATTTTGGAAAACAAGACTTAGCGTTGATTGAAAGAATTGGGAAGATACGCAACCTAATGGGCGAATTTATGACTAGCCGGATTTTATTTCCCCTTACGTCTCAAGTGCTGTAAGGTGGAGATGCCAATCGTTCTGCGGTCAACGCATAAAACACTTATTTTCTCTAATTCGGCCAGCGAAGGCATATCGAAGACGATGTGGATCTGCAAGCGACAGTGTTGTCATATTAAAATGTGTAATATATGTAATACGTTTCACCAGAATATATTTCGATGAAAAATTCCCGTTTATGTATTGAAACTTTATTCGTGTTAAACATAGAATAAACAGCAAAAATAAAAAATTCTTTTTTAGGTATTGAATATGTCGTATGATCGAAAAAAATCGTTTAGTTAGCTTGGAAATGACGATTATTGACATTTACCATAATATTTTATATATGAGCTAGCGATCTTCATTTTCAAGCCAACTCTGCTGTCTTTCTTTGTTTAATCAAATAATATTATATTAAATTGTTTAACTCTTTCGGGACGGAAGCTTCCCCGAAAAAAAATTGCTGCAGGGACGGGAGATTTTTGCATTGTCATAAGAAAGCATTGAGTTGATGTCGTGTATACACGACAGCCGTCCCCAACGCACTTTTTTCTCTATCTTGAATACGTTTCACCAGAATATATTTCGATGGAAAATTCCCGTTTATGTATTGAAAATTTATTCGTGTTAAACATAGAATAAACAGCAAAAATAAAAATTCTTTTATAGGTATTGAATATGTCGTATGATCGAAAAAAATCGTTTCGTTAGCTTGGAAATGACGATTATTGACATTTACCATAATATTTTACATATGAGCTAGCGATCTTCATTTTCAAGCCAACTCTGCTGTCGTTCTTTGTTTAATCAAATAATATTATATTAAATTGTTTAACTCTTTCGGGACGGAAGCTACCCCGAAAAAAAATTGCTGCAGGGACGGGAGATTTTTGCATTGTCATAAGAAAGCATTGAGTTGATGTCGTGTATACACGACAGCCGTCCCCAACGCACTTTTTTCCTGTCCTCTACGTGCCGACAGCCGTCCCGAAAGATGATAGAAAATCCGTATTATTAACGTACTGTAACTAAAATCTGTAAATCTACGGATTAATCTATAATTCTGGCAACACTGTCTCCGGCAACCACACCCTCTGTCGACTGAAAGCAGAACTACGGCCTGCTACAGTACAGTATTCTTTATCCGCTGCGGTGTAAAATCAGCGCGCAGAGCTAAACTAAATCTCGGAATTCTGAGATAGGCTGACGGTGACGCCAGCTGCATCTTGGACATAAAGTAACTAAAATAAAAGAGTGTTTGAAAGGTTGTCTAACTTGGCCATAATGTTGCATAGTTCAGTTAGGGCTCTAAAGCGTCGCCACCTGCTACCTGTCACGTGTCACGTGTCATGACAAGTGACATGACAGCAAATTATTTGTATTATGCAATTGTTTACAATTTTGTTTTGAACTTTGGAATTTTGTTATTATTTTGTGTAGCATATACTTTGTTTGTTTTGGTGTTCGTGTGTACAGAAATTATGGAGGAAGTTTTATTTCCCGAGAAACCAGAGACCTTATATTTCTCTATGATTTGAACCACGGCACATAAAACAATCGGCACGCCAACTCTACTCAGATTCCATTGTTTAAAATTTCTATAAAATTTGACCTTGTCGGCGCCATTATGGTTTCCTAGTCAGGGCCGGATTAAAACGTATTAAAAAATTTCTCAGAAAATACGATAGGGTCGTATTAAAAAAATACTGTAATTGACTGAAACTGAATTTTATTTACAATACTTCTGTCCAAACAAATGAATCGTTAACCGCGCATACTTCTCGAAAAGTAAAAATGAAAAAATCAATTAAATATTTCACTGTAGAGAATAGACAATTAAAATTAAAAAACATGCAACTAACAAAAACATGCCAGGAGTTACAAACAAGAATTAAAAAAATACCAATAAAATATTTATTGAACAATATAAAGAGGCTACGTACAAATTATGCCCATCAATGGGCGTAGCAAACTTTATTAATATTCAAATTTCACAAATTAATAAATCCACAATTTTTTTTGAGAAACTTCTATTTTTTTTATGGCAGGAAACAAAGTAGGTACCGTATTGTATTTTATACGGTTACAAAGTGAATTGGTAAACATTTTAAATTCGAAGTGAACAGAACACAACCTGTACTTGTGGGCCTTCTTTATATCTTCAATCAAGTCTTCTCCGTTAGCTGCAATTGCCCATGTTCTTGCCCTAAAAATGTATTGTTAACTTATTTTCGATATACTCATTTTATTTATTTTTATAATTATATTTAAATGAATAATATAATGATTTTTATATTTAATTTTTAATGTCTAGATACAACATTAAATTTTACTAAATATTTAACATTTTAATCTTGCTAATATTTTATATACATATAGGGTGAGTCTTGAATAAGTGCAAATATTTTCAGGGGTGGTATATTTCGACCCCAGGAACACGTTTATGAGTTTTTTTTCGCTAAAAAAAGATATTGAAAATCGTGCATTTTCTTTTAACTTCCCTGTATATTTTTCGAAAACTTTTTAGAACTGCCTGTTCACCGCAAATTTTCCCGCGGTATAATTTCTTAATCTCTGATATTACTATAGTTACGGCTTTACTCTATGGTTGCGGCACTAAAAGGGATGCAAATACAGAAAAAACCCGGTGGCTCTCAACTCAACATTTAAAAAAAACATTTTTTTTTAAACTTAAATAACTCGGTTATTTTGGATTTATCTGAAAAAGTAAGGAGAAAATATGTTTCTTTTATCGAGATCTGCCAGCCCTGAAAATATTTGCACTTATTTAAGACTCACCCTGTACATAAGTTTGGTAACATTTAATATAGATGCTGAACTTGTATATTTTTAATTAGATCTTTCTATTTAGCTGAATGTCCTAATATGTATACTACCAATGACCTCTAAATAAAGTAGACCCGGCATTTCATTCATAAAAAGGAAAAGATCAGAATCAGACATTCGTTTCTTGCTCTATGCGAGTGGGAACAAGACGGGCTGATCGCAGTCATGAAGGATTCCCGTGAGAATGGCAACGCTGTTCAGAGATCTAGAGAAAGTGTGTCATGGGCGTAGTTACTTTGATTGTAATATATAATTTAATATTATATCCGCGTAAATACCGGGAAAAAAAGCGGCGTCCAGTTGGCTTGGAAATGACGATCGATGACATTTCCCATATAATTTTACATATAAAATGACAGCGATCTTCATTTCGTAGCCATCGTTGACGCCGTTTTTATTCGATCATACGGTATGATTTTTGGATACGATATATTGTTGTGCTCGATGGCTCTTCAAATTTTGAAAATGACTACTTCTGTACTCCAATAAATTGAAAATAACTAATTGAAATATTATGATATGCACATTTCCATAGTATAAAGTCTGTAAATTGCTCCAGTAGTAATATAATCCATCAAGCATTCAATACGAGCCGACGACGACTTTCATAAAACATTTATGTGAATTAATGGTTATTATTTTGCTTGAAGCAACGGTGGAAAATGAGAATATTTTAAAACTGTCGTGACTAATTACAATTTTATATTAGGTATAAAAATATTACTATATAGCAACAATAATAAAGATCTTTGTTAAACAAAAGAAAATTTCTAAAATATTTACTTATTTCTGGAACAGTTTCTTCGCGGATAATCGGGACCTTGTAATGAATAAATAATTAACTTTTCATTAGAAATTACCAAACAAAAAATAAGTAATGCTTTATAAATCATATCAAACAAAGATGCATTCATCTTTTAAACTATATAATTTTTATAGCATTAATAAACAAAACAAAAAATACATTGCTCTATTACCACAAACATTATACCATCGAAAAAAGAAACGGCGTAAAAAATGACAATCACTGATAATTTTGGCGAGGTGATATGTCATGACCCCTACTCTTGTTTATTTTTTAATGGCACTTACTGGCAGTAGTAGGCCTTAAGGTTGTATTTGATTTTTAAATGGTGTAGTATAAATTCGAATTTTTTTTTGGATATCGGTTTGTATTTCTGGAACCGTCTATCCTTTTATAATTTTTCTATAATTAGTATTAGTTTTTGACAAGCTTTATATCAATTTTTAATAAATGACATCTAGAAATAGACCTCGCCAAAATTATATTCGATTGTTATTCCCAGCAGTCTTCGATACCGTTTTTTTTTCGATCATTCGGTATTTAGTATGTAATATCCAACGTACTCTTCCCTTAACTTTTTTTCAATCATTATATAAATCTATTTTGATTTTACACTTAAAAAATCCTCTTTAACAACTAAAAATCCTAATAACAATCAGTATGATAGAAAAAAAGGCCTCCAGTTGGCTTAGAAATGAACATCGATGACATTCCCCATATAATTTTACATATAAAATGACAGCGATCTTCATTTCATAGCCATCGCTGACGCCGTTTTTTTTCTCGATCATATGGTATTTCGCTTATGAACATTTTTCGTAATTGTGGCATCTTTAATTTTTTTATATCTTTTTCAACAAATTAATCGCATTTGTATACTTGGTTTTAATAATTAAAAATTATGAGCAAAATATTCAATAAAACCAAACGTGACGAAACTGACTTAATGTAATTCATTACTTATAACGGTACATTCCAAAACTGTGTGATTTACTAATACATATTTCCAAAGATTTTTCTCTATTTTACCTTTCGGCACCGCACTGATGTAACATAGCCTTACTCACCTTCGAAATGAAACTCTAGGTTTAAATCGTCTCTATTTTTGCAAATTAAGCAAGTTCGCACCATTGTCTTATTGTTTATCAATAAAATCACTAAAAACAATACCACAAAACACTAAAATATCTGGAAATCACCTCGTAAAACATTTCGAAAAACTACAACACATTGGCAACGCCGTAGAGCAATTTATGAACGAATTCGAACTGGATGTTTTGTTGGCTGCCTAAATTTAGGGGTGAAGATAGTAAAATGCGTACGTTTTCGGCATCAGCTGGCGTTGCGACGTTGTCGATTGTTTTATGTTAAATTTCTTAATTTCTAAAAATTATAATTGCAGAAGATTTAAACCTTTACTTATTAACTTTACTACCTTTAATTATTATCGGTTTAAAATATTCTACGACGTAATCTATATTTGGAATTATGGAATTCCTGGTTTACAATGTGGGTTAGCTATCCCCGTACGTATACGTAGGTAAGATTTCATTTTAAATGCGGCCGGTAGTGGAAATTTGGCATACATGCAATTTTCTAAGGCAATGATGGATTTCGCCAAAATGTAAGTCGCCGGGTCTAATTTATTTCGATGTCATTGTATACTACTGTTTTTTTAACTAAAATATGTTAAAATAATTAATCACATATGTATATACATACCTAATCGGATCTCTAGGAAACAGAAAAAAACTTTTATTGCAGTTTAGTCCTCTACTCGGGCAGTTTTTTGCTGCACAACTTCGCCCAGGCATTTTAAAAACACGTAAAAATTAACGATTTAAAAATGTTCAGAAAAACAAAAATAAATTATATAACACAAGAAACGAAAATAAACTAGAAAAACCAAATATATAACACAATAAACAAAAATAAAACAACAACTATAAAATATAACTCAAGAAATAAACAAAATAAATTAATCCGTACGCTACTGACTCGAATCAGCCGAAAGTGTGCGCAGTCGATGAAAGAAACTACGACACTGGTTACTTTCTGTTATGGAGTCTAAAAGGAGGAGGCGAATCGAACGCAAAAATTATGGGCCCAGTTTTTGAGATCTAAATGAAGTTCGAAAATCGCCGTTAGGGGCGCTTGTGATGATTGGGATACTAGAAATACACAGCTTCTTATGGCAAGAATAACTATTTTGTTATAAATTATAGAGCCAAGTTAATATTTGGGCATATTTTTACCAGAGTTAGCTTTTAGAAACGTGGTTTTTCTAATTGAGCAATGTGCGTGGCTAAAATTGTGAATACAAAACCTTAAATTTGAGTTTGAAAAGTTAGTTAGGTTATATTAGATGCCGGTTTAATATATCCTTTTCCTAAGTTGATATTATAAAAATGTTTTATTATGTGGTTCTTTTTAGTGCATACACGACCGAAGAAACATATAAGCTGCTAAAATAAATCTTCCCTAGAACTGTTGTACAAAAAAGATAGAAGTTCCAGCAACAAATTTATCACCAGTTCAACCTTTGATTTGATGTAAACAGTAATTGTTTCTTGATGAGAAATGCGAATGAAATAGTTTATGGTGTGATTGTGTTAGTGTTTTATTAATAGTTTTGTTGATGCAGTTTAAAGGTTCATAGTTTTTCATTAAAACATTTGAAATTGACATGTTTACATGCAGTTTAGTGTGATACCATTTTAATAAACATTAAAATCTTTCGAACTAGTAGTGGTTTTATGGCGATTGACAGATTGAATAACGAAAATTAAGAGTATTTTATCAGGAATAACTTAATCATAAATGGAAACTGAAGACGAACGTTACCATTGCACCCTTTGATCGGTGTTATCTATTCCATAACTTTTTATAGCTGAAACTAGAGAGTAGGTATATTGAGCTGAAACGTTTCCTGTGTTCAATAGCGTTTTTTCTAGCGTTGAATTGTAAGTTTTAATGTCATTAGCAAAGTTTTGCAAATTGTCACTGTTTCGTAGACAATTAAATTCAAGATATATTATATTCAATGTCACCTAATAATTGTAAAGGTTTTTCTATTGATATTCACTTTATTAATATAAGGTAGGTTTGTAAATAAAATATTAATGAATAAATAATGTACTCAGTTTATTTCAAAAGCACAAAAATACAGAGTTGTGAATATGTATATACGCTGACTTATTTCATCATATAAATATTTATTTAGCAATATTAATACATTACAACTTTTGTTTCTATTAACTAATTCCACTAAATTTAATAAATAAAATATACAATATATAAATTTAATATACAATTTAGCACTTAGATATTAAATATCTATATGTACTATGCCAAAAAATAAAACAGGAACATCATATTATATCAAGAACACAAAAAATTACAATTTAAAAAAAATGCATTCTAAAAAAATACCTAGCTACAATATACCTACATATTAATTTAAAGAGCTTATTCATATTCATAAAAACTATTCTAAATGGTTTATATACACAATCAAAAGTATCAACCACAATACAATAATTTTCAAATTATTTCTTATTATTCCTCAATGAAAAAGCGTCTTGCGACGGCTAGTCAAAAATCTAAATAATTTTTATAATAAATTTACAATCTGACATATATATAGGTACATATATAGGTACATGTCAACAGGTAATTTTAGCACCTAGTAAGTATTAAATTATTTTAATTTTATAACAAGGCCTCCTAGGTTATGTTATACACATGTTGATTTTAGGCTATATTTCCTATTAATTTGGTTTATAATTTAATCTGTACACTGACAGTATATAATTTTAATGTTTTTCTTAACATCTATCCATAATTTTTATAAATAAATAGTCATACTACTTACATTAGGAGCTTTGAAAAGGCTTGGGTTTCTTTCACCCCGTTCTTTATTTGCCTTGTTTTTATTGGGATTCCCACTTGTACAGCCAGGTACAAAGCAATTTCTACCACGACTCATTGTTGTACTGCTAAAAATTCAGTAAATTAACTATAAATTTTATTAAAAACACAATTAAATCGTATACTAACAATGAAAATGTAGTATCCCAGTCGATCGCAGTGCCTCTGCTGTCAAACCGAGGAAGCTGCTTAAAAGTGGGGACAGAAATTTCAAATTTGCCCATTGCCGATAAATCTCCTTTTTTAAGCCCTCCATACTTTCTGTTGATGGAAACCCTAATGGCGGCGTGCGCGACGGTATGCGCGTAGCGTTCCCGCCAAAGAGAGTTAGCCTGCCGTGTGATTTATATGCCGTGATTTGAACTTTATGTTTTGTGCTGTGTTTTGCCGTCATGTAATATTTTGTTCAGCTGATGATGTGATTTGAACACGATCCAGGAAAGGGTATCAAGCAAAGCAAGTTCGATATAGATTGCAAACCCTGCGATCTTATATGCTTTGTTAGTGGCTTTGTTAAATAGGTTTTATAATACTATAGGTTAATCGAGGGGTAAACCGCTGGTGTATTTTGGTGTACAAGATGTTGGCATTTTTGGCATTTTCGTGGTATTATTGGTATTAGTACTAAATTATTTGGCATTACTTTGGCATTAGTTTACAGAAATTCATCAGCGGTTTATCCCTCGAGGTTAATTCAGCATATTATATGTTTTATATTATCAAATTTAATTTAGCATTTAACTGTAAGCATTTGAAAAGTGTACAATAGTTTATACTTTTCAAATATTCCGTTTTAAAAAATAAATTTTCATTATATTTTTTGCAGTTTAGATTTCGTAATATTTTTAAAAATACATAAAATTTTATATTCACATTTAAACTACCCGCCTTTTTTGTGGTAGGTAATGCAGATACCTATTTTACCGATTACGTCGGTCATATTTCCATTAGTTCAGTTAGGGCTCAAGGGTGCGCTACAATCGATCCTCGTTAAACGTGTTGCCTACTTTTGACTATGGAAATGACAACTCTTTTATTTTATATTTCTCTATGATCTTGGACATGTTTTGTGCCACATAAAAAAATCACCCATAAGGTTACGCATCTTCTTATTTCTTCAATGTCTTGGCTTTTTCAAGAAATAGATTTAGATTTTCAAGAAAAGAAGTTGCTAAATTTCCTTACCAATTGCTGCGGTAACTTCCATATCCATAGAGTCCTATCTAAACATCCAATCGCTAATAACGAACAATCCAAACTAAACGAACAGCACGTAACTATAGAGTCGTGGTCAAGGACGTGTAAGCATTGACCTCCATACACAGACCATAATCTAGCCTGTCTATCAGTCGCAGTCGAGCAAACTACTTCACCAACAGTCGGTGAAAATCTGACAGATATTACATTCCCCCCATGTCCTTGCAACAATCTCCAAAGTTTAACATCAATTGTTTCAAAGTTTAGTTCATTATCAACTGCCTGAAAAAATAATTTAGTAGTCAATTTAGTGCCATACATATAACACCATAATGTTTAGTTACCGTTTCTACACTAATTTTCCATAATTTTACCATACTATCGTTACCACAAGTTGATAATAAATACAACTGTCCTTCATAAGCAACGTTAGGAACCGGTTCTAAATTTTCTGAAAAGTCACAACACTGGATCCCACCGTCGTGCGCATCCTCCTTAACATATATACATTTATAATTTTCAACGAGCCACATTCTAAAATCGGAATTACATGATGCGGTTACGATCATTTTGTTATCTGGTGAGATGCAGGCAGAAGTTATGGTATCTAGGTGGCCTTCTAAAACGCTAAAATTAAAACAGCAGATTAGAAAGATATTAAATTAAATTGAATAGTTATTACGAGACTCTATTCATCGTTTCCACGTCCCAAATAACAGCTTTCTCGTCGTCTCCACCGGTAACTATAAATTTTCCGTTTGGCGAAAATCTGCACACTTTAATGGATAAACTGTTTTTGGGTATAGATGAGAGTTTTTCACCAACCTATAAAACAAGTACTCACTACTATAATAAATTAAGACTTGCAGGATATTTTATAACAAATTTTGTAAACGAAGTATTTATAGTTTAGAAGTGTTGTTGTTTTAAGTTGGGTGAAAGACTACTAAAGACCTTAAACTGTTGTGGCTCAAAAACAGAAAAATTTGTATTCACCTAAGACAAGGTGAAGTAAAGTGAGTATTTTCCACTGACCAAGTACATATTACTTACGAGATGTAAGTACCTGAGGAGAGTTACCTGATCTACACCAAACAACGTACACTTGGTTCTTATGGTTTGGTGTTATCCGAGGATGATTATTTTACAAAAAAGAATTACTATTGTCAGAATACATATTAGAATTAAATTATAAAATTTAATGAAAAAATGTATCCAATCGTGTACGTTACTGTTTTAACCATTACCAAGATGGCAACAAAAAAAAACAGGAAAACAAGGAAATAATTTTTTACATTAATATTTTTTTAGAATTTAGAATGAGTGGAAGGGGGTTAATTGCCGCATCCTTAAAGATCTATTGTGTCCTCCTTGTTGAGTTGTGACTCATCATACAGTCTATAACTCATCATACATGGGGATCTTTCTGTTGTAGGGGGACAGGATATTCCCCATCCTCCGAGGAGTGGACGTCTACCTCCTACGAGTGTATACACCCTTTCACGGTTGGGATTTAGCCCTCCGCGTCTTTCACAGTCAAGGAGCTTGTCTCCGGCTAAGGTACCCTTGAGGTGGAAGCTGGAGGATCAGTCTACATTTTCTCCACCTCCTTAACTTGGTCTCTCCTTAGACCTGATACCGGATCTATAATAGAGTATATATCTCTTTTTCTCTATTGTCTCTTTGGGTTTGAGGTCAACTCCTATTGTGAGGACCTGACCATGGCCCTCCTCCCTCGAGTTGATGACTCGCCAACTCGATGTCCTTACATTGGAGTTTTGGCAAAGCTGGTGACACACCGCAATGGTTAGTCGGTCCACTTATACAGAGCCCCACATGTAAGGGAGACGGGAATACAATAGGTTGCCTCCTGGTGCCTCATGGTTGAAACCAGTAGAGGCTAGTCTTCTATCTAGCCACGCATATCTTTGACCTGGTCCCGCCATCGTAGGATTTATTTTTGGTGAGGTTGTCTCACCTTGGTCTGGGCGGTTAAGCCATGCCCGCCCCCTCCCCTCCACACATCGTTATACGTCTTGGTGCAATTCCTTGGCCACGACACTACAGCCCTTGTATAAACAAGGCTACAGCCAAGGAGAAGACAGTGAGATGCTCCTTAGACCCAACCATAGTGCCAGAGGGGATTCTCCCTATCACTTGACCAGGAGCTTCCCCACCAACGACAAGGTCTCGCATCTCCTAGAGAATGTTTGTATAATATATATATATGTAATCAATTTATATTCTGTTAATATAAGTATATAAAATCTGTACAATCAAAGTTACCTCATAATATTGTCGTACACTTTCTTTCAAAAACAAAATTAAATATATTGTAGATGTCATTACAGCAAGTACTAACAATGATAAATCCATTGTGTACCCTCCTTCTAATGAAACTATAGTTTATCTAACGAGCGAATATATGACAGTAAAAGTTCCGGTCTGTCATGTTAATGAAAAAGTAAACTTTTTTTCTGACCCTTATGACTATGTGAATGACATTTGATAAGAAAAATGTATATATTTGTTTAATCCAGGGATTGAGCAATCCCCCGGTCTTAACACATGATACTGGAAAGGTTCTTGAATCAGAATGTCAACAGTAATCTAGATTGAAGGAGTGTCTAAGAATACAGATAGATTTCGAATTTACTGACACTTTACAGACTAGACTTACTTCAGGATCCCAGATAAAAGTACATCCATCCAATGAAGAAGACGCCAATCTACTTCCATCTTTAGAAAATTCAACGTAATTTATAGCATATGTATGTCCCTCTAGGGGAGAATTGGATACTTCTTCTATATTGTTATTTTCCTCTGTTACGCGAAACAATCTAACGAATTTATCCCTAAAACAAGCAGTGTTCAGTAACAATCTACTTTTTTAATTAGATGGACTTTCTAACCCGGATCCGGTAGCTAATAAATTAGTACCATGGAAACAGCAACTGTTAACACCGCCCTCAAAAATGTCATCGATTTTTTCCAATAGTACTGGATCGTTGTTATCCAGATTTGAACTTTGGCTCATTTGTACTTCAAAAACTCCACCGTTTGGGCTAGATATCGGGGCGAAAAGTTCGGTGTCCAGATCAATATTTCCAGTCAAGTCCCACACAATGAGTACTTTGTCGTTGGAACCTGTGGAACCTTAAAATGTCAGTTTTCTTTACTATTAATTATTCAGAGATACTAAGATTGTCCACATATCATGCTAAGTTCAGAAGAAAAAACAGTCGTGCAGCCCATGCGATTTTTGATCTATTAATTAATCTATTGATAAAATTTTAATGTTCAAATTTCATATACCGATTTGGTCATTTTAGAAGAACTGGTCTGGATTTTAAAGTGTAAGACAGAGAATAATATAAATGACCGGTTGACAGACAGAGAGACAAAATCAAAAGCGGCATACAGTGTTGCCGGTTTTTACGTTTGTAGGAGAATTTGTGTAGAAAAAAAACTATTTTAAAAACTTTCATGTATACTACTCAAATGAAGATAATATATCTAAGTAAAATCTTTAGTAAATCTATCTAATCTGTGGTAAAATGAAGTACCTAATAATTATGAAAAATAAGGTTCCAACCCAAAGACATCCAAATAAAGGGAGACAAAACAATTTACATTTTATCGCGATCACGAACCGTGTTCCGCAAAAATCGATGATGACAGATTTATGCGGTATGTGATAGAATACGGTTTGAGTACCAAATGTTATTATTGTTATTAATGTTTTTTGGGTACCTATAGAAACGTTAAACTAAATATAATTTTTATTGTTGTCGATCCAATAATATATAATGTGTTCTTTTTTTTATAAATTGGATTAGGATCGAAAGAAATCAACAGAAGTCCTTTGTTTTAAATTTGTCGACGTTTCGCAAAATTTATTTGCATCTTCAGGACACTACAAAGTTAAGAGAGCAAAAAATACAATCAAATAAAAGTTTTTTCAAAAATTTAACAAACAACCCAAAACACATATCAGTGGAATTCCACACATATACAATTGGTAAAACTACCCTAATGTTAACAATTAAATAAAATATATGTATATCTTACTCACATTTAAATCTGGACTTTCTTAGTCATATCCATTAATACACGGATGGTATAGAGGGGAGTGGTATATATCCCTTTTTTCTTTTTAAAACACATAACACACTTACATAAAAAAAAAACATATAACACAATTATGTATAGAGAAATATCACGAAATTTTTTTCGTTTCACAGACAAGCAGTGCAGATGTACCTACGTTGACCGTATACAGAGAGAAAGTGATAAAATACTAATATAATTTTTACCTGGAGATAAAGAACAGTTGAAAAAAAAGAAACATATAAAAATATTATTTGGATTTAAACCATTATTTTGAAGTTTATTATTTAATTTTTGAAAGAATATTAAAATATGCTGTACTCAGGTTTTCTACGTCTGTTCTTTTATTAACGCAATTTTTGTTTTTTTGGATTTCTATCATCTCTGCAAATAATCTTTTCTTATAATTAGATTGTGTTTGTAAAATGGTGGTATTGTCAAAATCGAAGTTATGGCCTGTCTCTATTTTGTGTTCTACTAATGCGGTAGGATTAGATTTCAAAAGAAAGTTCCTTTGATCATTTTTATGTTCATTCAATCTTTGTTTTAAATATCTACCGGTCTGCCCAACATAGCTTTTAGGACATTGAGTACAAGGAATGTTATATATTATGCCGGATTTCAGTTCTTTTTTATTCTTTGATTTTGTTTTTGAAAAGAACCGTCTCTTTGAAAAGAACCGTCTAGAACAAATTAAAAACACATTTAAGGGTCATACTACAAAAAAACAGGAAAAAATAAAAATTACAACAAGGAGTCATAACACCATAAAGAGACGGTTCTTTTCAAAAACAAAATCAAAGAATAAAAAAGAACTGAAATCCGGCATAATATATAACATTCCTTGTACTCAATGTCCTAAAAGCTATGTTGGGCAGACCGGTAGATATTTAAAACAAAGATTGAATGAACATAAAAATGATCAAAGGAACTTTCTTTTGAAATCTAATCCTACCGCATTAGTAGAACACAAAATAGAGACAGGCCATAACTTCGATTTTGACAATACCACTATTTTACAAACACAATCTAATTATAAGAAAAGATTATTTGCAGAGATGATAGAAATCCAAAAAAACAAAAATTGCGTTAATAAAAGAACAGACGTAGAAAACCTGAGTACAGCATATTTTAATATTCTTTCAAAAATTAAATAATATAACTTCAAAATAATGGTTTAAATCCAAATAATATTTTTATATGTTTCTTTTTTCAACTGTTCTTTATCTCCAGGTAAAAATTATATTAGTATTTTATCAACTAGAATTAGTTGCTCTCTGTATACGGTCAACGTAGGTACATCTGCACTGCTTGTCTGTGAAAGGAAAAGATTTTCGTGATATTTCTCTATACATAATTGTGTTATATGTTTTTTTATTGTAAGTGTGTTATGTGTTTTAAAAGGAAAAAAGGGATATATACCACTCCCCTCTATACCATCCGTGTATTAATGGATATGACTAAGAAAGTCCAGATTTAAATGTGAGTAACATATACATATATTTTATTTAATTGTTAACATTAGGGTAGTTTTACCAATTGTATATGTGTGGAATTCCACTGATATATGTTTTGGGTTGTTTGTTAAATTTTTGAAAAAACTTTTATTTGATTGTATTTTTTGCTCTCTTAACTTTGTAGTGTCCTGAAGATGCAAATAAATTTTGCGAAATGTCGACAAATTTAAAACAAAGGACTTCTGTTGATTTCTTTCGATCCTAATCCAATTTATAAAAAAAGAACACGTTAAACTAAATATTTGTATAGGTATATAACTTTAATTAATATACATAGATTTTGCCAGGATTATACCTTTGAAATTATTTTTAGTTTTCTAATTAAATTATATTAGAGAAATTACAATGACAACTAGCGGCATCGCTGTGGATTTATCTTTACTACGAAATTGTCGAAATCTGTAGGAATTACGCTGACATTTGGCGTTTTCATTTGTTTTCATTCAACTTATATTTGACAACGCGCAGTTGTGAGTTTTCTGGGGTAGTTGAAAGTTTTTGTAGCTTTTGAACAACTTTCTTATAATTATTAGTGTTTATTGCAAAGAAAACTATTTAAAGTAGTTTTTAAATATCTACGATGGTTCGCCAATGCATAGTTTATAAAAAGATGGACTATTCTAAGCCGGAATTGATATTTCGACGGTAAGTGTCATTACGTTTTTTTTTACCTTTAGCCCCTTTAGCCATGCTTACAGTAGCGTATTTAGATAATTTTAGCTATAAGTAGATTATTACAAAAATACGTATATTTTCTTATTTGTTGGCATTTTCGACTGTGAAATTAGAGTTACCCTCAGTTAAACGTCAGGCAAACCTAGTTATAATTGGTCTGAGGCAATCCCAATCAATTTTTGATAAAATTCATCAATTTTTGATAAAATAACATCACGCCACCGTCACGCCACTGATAGAGCCAAATGACAGAAATATAGATTAAACTCAACCGTGTTGTCATATTTATGTAGGTACCCATCTCTTTTTAACTCTCATAAAAGTGTGAAACCATGTATGGTTCAAAAAAATTGACAGTCTATTCTATCTACCCATTTAGATGTCTTTGTTCTAACCCTAGATGCAACATTTTCCATAAACGCCTAATTAGGCGTTAAAAAGGCTTAATAGAATTCTGCGGTTTGAACTTTTGATGCAAAATCCGGCAATACCGCATAGAAGAACTGCATCAACCCAACTTTTATCTCTTTTTAATAAATTTGATTTTCCATTAAGCTGCCTACACCACTGTATTACACGTTAAAATCCAGACCACACTTCTAAAATGACCAAATCGGTATAGATATTTTATATGGTCTATCAGATTTAACGCATATGAGGTATTCGACCTTTCTAACAAAGCTTTTGAAGTTTAATAAATAAAACTTTCTTGAGCTATAATTAAGTACTGTTACTTCTTTCTCTGTCTAATATTACAACAATCTATAGTACCGTATGATCGAATAAAAACGGCGTCAGCGATGGCTATGAAATGAAGATCGCTGTCATTTTATATGTAAAATTATATGGGAAATGTCAGCGATTGTCATTTCCCAGCCAACTGGACGCCATTTTTTTTTTTCGATCATACGGTATAATTTAAGTCCTGGCATAATGGCTAGATTTCAACACGCATACACATTGTATAAAATCAATTACAAAATAAACAAGAAATAATAAAAAATTAACATAGAAGAGCATAACTTGCGTATTTGAAACTAGCAAAAATCCAAATTTGTCAAGAAAAATATCAAATATGACTAACTAAACAGAGGTTGTTGTTATATTGCTTCCGTCCTTAATCCAGATATTCATATCATCTTATATTTGACGAGTTGTATCTTTTTATTCTTAATCTAAGGTTGTATCCAACGGATTTCACACCTGACAAACACTCAATGCTTATTATAAGAAAAATCGTTAAAATTTGTTAACGCTTACAAGTACTTGTACCTAGTAATTGGTTAGGTGTTAGGTATTAATGTTGTCACGACCAGAAGTAATTTAAAAGTTAAAAAAGGTCTCTAGTCTCTGTATATAGTTTTTTTTTATAGTTTTTCAATTTGAGTAGTAAATTCTTAGTGGAAAATTCAGTGAAACATCTAAGAAAACAGTGAATAACACACATGCAATAGTGAAAGTTGGTTAACAATATATAGCTAAAATCAATAATTTTACTCAATGACAACATATTAGAGGAGGATTATTATTTAATGAGTGGTTTGAATTTTATTATCTGCTAAAAGAATGTTTATAATAAATAAAATATTTTAATTAAGTAATACGTTTTATAAGACACGACTGCTTAATATAATCGGAAAATAAAATAAAATGTTATTTGTATGTTATCATTTTTAACCTCTCTTATACAGATTGTTAACTGGACAGTTACTTATAGGGGAACAGAATGGCAACACTGCCTATTGAGAACGCATGCACTTATATGGTTTTCTGCCGACACGTCCCGTCAGAACGGGCCGAGGTTGTCATATTTCAACCATAAAGCTCTTGCCGTGAGTAATAAAACAAATTAACAACCTGTATACATTATACAACTAGCTCTGCAGTGTGATTCTGTAAGCTACATAGCAAGAAATTGCTTGCCTAGCTTATGATATTTGAAGCCGATTGATAAGTCACTAGAAAGAAAATATGTTTACAGAATCGCACTGCTGCTCACTTTATTTGCGTGGTCTGTACTTTAATGCATACGACAGAGATAAATATAAATAAAAAGCCGTATACAGTGTTGCCAGTTCGTGATCTAAGCATTCAATAATGCTCGTTTCTGTTAGACAGTTTTTTAAGTATGTATTACGGCTGTAGTAAAATGAGTAACTAATTGTGAAAAATAAAGTTCCAACACTAGATAAAATATTTTTTGTAACACCGACTTGTGCTGTTTGAAATTTTGATGCAAAATCCGGCAATACCGCATAGAAGAAATGTATTAACCTAACTTTTATCTCTTTTTAATAAATTTTATTTTTCATTTAAGCTGTCTACATCACTGTCTTACACGTTAAAATCCAGACTACGCAGTTTCGAAGACCAGATCGGTATACCAAAATTGTGTAAAAACGGTTCATTAAAATTTAACACAATGCTTAGTTTTAAATACCTGAAACTACAAGCGAGTTGTCCTTAGAGAATGCAACACTGTTGACATATCTCTGATGACCATAAAGTGTTACGAAACAAGTGCCATTAGTATCCCACACCTTGACTGACTTATCTAAACTAGAAGATACCAAATATTCGCCAACATTGCTATACCTTACGCAGGTGACCGAGGAGTTGTGTCCGTCCAATATTTTGTCTTGTTGAAACGATACTTCGTTGTGAGTGTGATTTTTATTTTTAACTAGGGCTTTTGAAGTGATCCTCCAGATTTTAATTTCGTTGTTACATCCGCCAGAGGCCATGGTATAATGTCGAATGAGAGGATTACTTTCTGAAAGAAAATATAATCAATTTGTATAATTAAGACGTACAGGCCTACAGGGTGGTCCAAACTGTCAAAAGGAGCCACATAATAATGAAGTTTCCTGTTGAGATCTTTCATCAGATTTATTCTACCGCGTCACCTGATCGTTTAGTTCACAGCTCATCGAATCTTAGATCTAGAAACCCATACCTCTACACTACTCGTGAAGTAAGCCGAAGTAGGTTAAAGTTGAATAGTAAAGAGTAGAGATGGGATCACTCGAGTGAAAAATACTCGGTCGCTTGAGTATTCAAATCATCGGTATGTTTCAAGGATTTTTGTCCATCAAAGTTTTCTCGAATTTTAACCTACACCATTTAAAAATAATTTCCACTCAATATAAAAATAAATTACAACCCTCTTAAGGCAGCTGGCAACAGGCTCCATTAAAAAATAAAGAAGAACCCGTGCCAAGAAATATCGTCTAGGGCTTGGCCTCGCCAAAATTATTATCTATTGTCATTGCCGTCTTTGACACCGTTTGTTTTTCGATCGTATGGTATACTTACCATCTACTTCGATATGTCTTGATATGTCGATAGAAAAGACTCCCATATCGTGTATATTGTCCATCCTAACAATAGGCGTGCAAACATTATCAGTAGTTGTATCTATTAGATTTTGAAGGTACCATACTTTTACGACTTCTAAACTACATGCTGTAACAAGAAACTGGCAGTCTGGGGTAAATGCTAGACCTTGAGTAGTGCCTTCGTGTTCAAAAAGGGTTCTAAAAATATTAGAGGTTATACTAATACAACTAAGTGAAAAGAGTTTACAATAATGTTGCAAACAAGAGACCAACAGAGATATGGAACTATTCTTTGAACTTTGCTGTAGGCTGTAGGTAAAAATACTCTAAAAAAATGACTCGACGTGTATGAGATTTTTCCTAATAATATTTCTAGATCTGAATTATTTTGCCTTTACGTTTATTCACTGGCAAATTACTTAAATTTCAAAAGTAGCAAAAATAACAACAAAAATTTTTTCATTAACTATTCATTATCGTCATGAATAAGTAGGAGAAAATTCAGGTAATTGCTCCTAAGATTGAAATAAGAAGTTTTTCTTATCTTTTTCTTGATTTATCTCGTACAAAACTGATTATATTTTCTTACTAATATGGTTATATAGAGTAATCCAAAAGCACATTATTATCAGCTTGTTTTAAAAACGGCTCGTTCTATAAAATGTAAATAATAATAATAATTGATTTTATTTCTACTTTGTGTAGAAAAAATGTATAGAAACAAAAAGTATCATAATTTTACTGATCCTTATTCAATAGAAAAAAATATTTCAAAATTTGTGGTAGGATTTAAAGATATACGCGTTAAGATATCGCGAGTAGCTGTTTGCACCACTCTGAATAAAATCCCCAATAAAGCATCCAACTTCAAAAATTTGATTTAATTAGTATCATCAGCACATCACATTTCAATTTTCTAGAGCAAACCATTTTTCAAAAAGTCGATAATATAGTTACTTTATAATATGCTGTTCTATTATAAAGTTTCTAAACTATAAATAATACACTGATTATCTTTTATATTTTAAAATATAATGGACATATATAAAAAGATAAAGGATAAAAAATATATAAGCGATACCAATTAAACTTTTAATTACGTAATCGAAGACGCGAGTTTTAAATTAATTGTTGCCAACCAAAGACATATTCCGCGCCGGTCTAACTAACTGGAGTTTAAGTTCCCCACTGGGGATTCAGAGGTGGTAGCTCTACTGTAAAAAATGTCAAATTGCCACATTTATTTTGTATTACGACATTTTGGTTTAAATTGGAATTGTGTTGTAATACTTTAAGCTTAAATTTTTTTCCTAGCAGATCCTGCAGTCGAACATTGTTCTTGTGTACAAAACAGCTTAATAGCCGTTGCAAAAAACTGATCGCAACCTTATTAGCATATTTTGAACGAGAAAGCGGTAGTAATGGCCCTTTATGTTACTTTAGTGCTGTTTAGGAGGTGAGTTTTGTTGATGTAAATAATAATTGTTTATATATTTATAATTAATTTATTTTTGTTTCCAAAAATATTTTGGTTAAAAGGAAATACGTAAAAGTTGGCAAAACTGTGTCGGTCAAGCTTATAATAACGTGAATAAAAGTTTATTTGGTATGATCTATAGTATATACAATAATATACAGGTTGTTAACTCGACAGTTACTTATAGGGGAACAGAACGGCAACACTGCCTATTGAGAATGCATGCATTATTGAGTTTTCTGCCGACTCGTTCCATCGCGTCGTCTATCGACGAGCGGGCCAAGGTTGCCATATTTCAACCATAAAGCTCTTGCCGCGAGTAATAAACAAATTAACAACCTGTATATTGCAAATAGAAGTAGAGTAACTGTTTAGAGTTAACGCCCAGTATATGACATAAACAATTCTACTTAAAAACTCGATTTGATTAGTGCCATGCAAAATCAAATTTTAATTTTCTAATGAAATATGTCGATAGTACAATATTATATATATATATATATATATATATATATATATATATATATATATATATATATATATATATATATATATATATATATATATATATATATATATATATATATATATATATATATATATATATATATATATATATATATATATATAAATATTGGTCCATCGTATATAACCAACTAATTTTGTAGGGAAACATCACATTAAAAACATTATAGGAAAACCTCACATATTTTTTTTTACTTATTTATTTACAGCTTGTACATTAGAGAAAACTGGTTAACTGTGTTTTTTGTAAACTGTTACTCTACATTGTTTTATACCTATATACTATTAAAACTTGAGAAACTCTAATGCGGATAATTTAGATTCACCCAATGCACGTTCACTTACCTAACTAATATTCTGTGCACCAAATCCCAGATACAAACTGCTCCATTATCTCCTGCTGTTACCAGCAAAGTGCTATCAGGTGAAAAACTATACAGTAAAAACATCATTAGATTGGTAATCTGTTGGTTACTAATTTGAGACTCTAACTTGGTTTTTAAAATACAATAGTACACTTTGGTTTTTAAAAAACATTATCTTTATTATTAAATTTACACAATTACCATATTTCGAATTATGAATTATATCACTCTTTGGTTATCAAATATACCGGGTGCGCCTCTAAAGTGGCTCACCCCTATAACTTTTTTATTTTTTCAGATAAAAAAACGAGATTTGGATAAGTTAGGATAGGCAATAAATTAAGATTTTTTTAAGAGTTTTTGGTCACTTCCTTTTTCACCGGAAATGACTACAACTTTTAAATTTTAAATGGCACCCTCGGTATTTTTTACTTTATTTGATAGAAAATTACATTCTGAATAGAATGACATATCATATGTCAACTTTTGACATTCTTGCTTAATAAAAAATAGTCTTAAAATCCAATCTAGAGTGCCATGACTATGTTAAAAACACTAATTCTTAATCAAGGAGGCTTGAAAAAATAGATTTGATCGTCTGATGTTTTTAATGTCTTGTCCTGGCCAGTTAGAAAATGCTCAAATCGTATTTTTAATCATATCTCAATTTTTTCAAATGGAACGATGGATGGTGGCTCATTAGCATATTTGGAAAAAGCATTTTTTTAGGAATAATTTGATACCACACACTTGGTATTTCAAGTCAAATTTTTGTTACGAACTGCAAGTTATAATTCCGAAAAAATCATATGCGAAAATGTCAAAAGTTGACATATGATATGTCATTCTATTCAGAGTATTATTTGCTATCGAATAAAGTAAAAAAAAACACCGAGGGTGCCATTTAAAAATCAAAGGTTGTAGTCATTTCCGGTGAAACAGGAAGTGACCGAAAACAATTGAATACGTCAATCAATTTATGTCTTATTACTACTACTACTACTACTACTGCCATTACTCGCTGACGAGTATTTGACACGCATCGAAAGATGGTTACGCAAGGCGTTTCCTGTCATGAGCTTTTCTGTGACTGAAAAGCCCGATACGTGATGTTATCTCTCTTCCACACTCCGGACATTCAAAAATCTCATTACTTTGTTGCCTCTTTACTTTTTGGTTGTCATTATTAACTGAATTTACAATTCTCCTCCATTGCGTTCTATTGTGCGCTGCTTCCTCCCACTGATGCTACATTTATCCCCTTTAAGTTTTCATGAACAACATCCTTGTATCTTTTGAGTTGTCCACCCGGCCTCCTCTTACCGTCTACAAGCTCACCGTAAAGAGAGATTTTGGTATGCGGTTTTCTTGCATTCTGCATACGTGACCAGCCCATCTTAAGCGGGATTTTGTAACCATGACTTCAATACTCTCGCAGTTAGCTTTTTCAAGGACCGATACGTTTGAGACATGATGGAACCACCGGATTCTTAAGAGTTGTCTAAGGTGTCTCTGTTGCAACTTGTTTAATGCGCTCGTGTGCAGGCGGTACGGCGCGGCAGCCAGGTTTCGTTTCCATATAACATGGTGGGGATTATTACTGCTCGATACACTGCAAGTTTCGTTCAATACTGCTGATACACTGCAATAATCTGCTCAAGTCATGATTGTAGAAAACCCTGTTTTTAATTTTCAGAATGCTCTTGAGGCGCTGCTGATTCTGTGCTGAATTTCAGAGTCGATATTTGCCTTTTCCGAAATCAAACTTCCGAGGTAATTAAATTCCGATACATATTCCAATAGTTCTTCTCCGATTTTTATAGCGCTGTTATGATTTTCCGGAGGAGAGCACATGATTTTTGTTTTATCGATGTTCAGTTTAAGGCCCAAAGTCTCGTATGCCCAGGTATATGTGTTCAGCATTTCCTGTAACTGCTGTAACGTATTTGCAACTAGAGCGCAGTCATCGGCGAATTGGAGTTCTGTGATGAATTTTATACGTTTTTTTGCCCTGAGTCTTTTTATGTTGAACACCCATTCCTCTGTCTTGCAGTTTGCTGTCCACTATAATAGAGAGTGTTGCCATGAATATGTTGAATAGGAGAGGAGCTAGGACACATCCCTGCCTAACTCCTGTATTTGTCAGGAAGGGATCGCTCAGTGATCCATGATGTGACACTCTCGACTTGTTGTTATGGAGGTTTTTACACACACTAAGAAATTTGTTGGGCACTCCGAACTTTTGCATAATTGCCCAAAGTACACCTCTGTTTACAGAGTCGAAGGCTTTCGTTAGGTCGATGAATGCAACATAAAGTTTACTCTGCTGTTCCTTTACTTTTTCCTGTAGTTGGCGGACGGAGAATATGGAATCAACGATACCGCGGTTGGTGCGAAAGCCCGTTTGCGATTCTGGGAGGATTTTTTCTATATGTGGGTGAAGGCGGTTTGACATAATTTTTGCGAGAACTTTACCTCCGATAACCAGTAGTGAAATTCCTCGATAATTTCCGCAATCTGATGCACTTCCTTTGTTCTTAAATATATACTTTAATATATTTACTACTTACTGAATATTTTCTGACATAAATTGTGAGAATTACCACCACACATGTTCCCTATTTTCGTATAAAATCAAGCATCTTTAAATATATTTTGGAGATCTACAAAGTGATAGAAATAAAAGTTACAACGTGATGCCTAGTACCATTTTAGATGCAAAATGCAGCACTGATTTCTACAATTGTAAGGTATATCACAATTTATTTTTTCCACGCATTTGCGTAGAAATCTGCAAGCTTATCTATATTCGCACATCTTAAGGCCCCCATACACTGCGGTTATTTTACACGGTTTTAACTGAACGGGTTGGAGAGTTCAGTTAAAAAATGTCAGTGTATATGTGTAGTTCAAAAATGTAACTTCGGTTCGCTATAATCGGTAGTTCGCCAGTGGCGTTCCACGGGGGATGGTGGTCTTCATGTAATACGATATTATTAATTTATTGTGTCAGAAACGACTCCGGAGTATGTACTTCGAGTAAAATTTTGTGTCTAGTATCTCCCCCTTCCCTGGAATCCTGGATCCGCCCCTGTAGTTCGTTAATGATTACCGATCGGTAAACACTCGAAGTTCGCTAACTACCACATGTGCGGCCTCAGCATTATATTATGTAACAAATCGGATTCTGAGCTCCAATAATTTTACTGCTGGTAAATATACAAAAATATATATACACGCAGTAGATGAGACGCGCAAACACTCGAAGCGAAGATGACTAGCTGGTACTTAATAAGCTGTGATAATACTAAGTTTTTGATAGCAAGCCAAGTTTATTTAAAAATGAAAAATAAGAGTATCAAGTATATAAAAATAAAGAAGTAAATATTTAATGTGTGACAGTAAAATACGATAAAAATTTCCAAAGAAACATTCAAATCCCATAAGAATTCTTGAAAATATAAATATCCAATTTTTTATTGGTTTTATTAATTATATAATAAAAGTTTACAACAATCGCTCAATAATCAATAAAATACTGACCTGCACACTCTTATGGGGTCCCCGTTAACCTGGGTCATGGTGTATAATTTTGTCAGTGAATGTAGATTCCATAACAAGGCAGTACCGTCTACGGAGGATGACGCCATCATCGAACCTTGAGGTGAAATTTTGACACAGGTGACTTGATATTTGTGACCTCGCAGAGGTGAATTTTGCCGTTCTACATAACCAGAACCTTTTATCCAGTCCCATACTCTAATGGTTTTATCACTAAAAAAAATTGTATAAAAATATTAAAAAAATACTAATTTCCAAAGATGTATAATTAAGTTTCTGCTCTGCCTGCAAATCAATTTTTTGACATAGCATTGATAATATTTCAAAAGCTGTTAAACAAAAATGGGTAAAATACGAAAATTGATAACCACTTGATGGGAATGATAATCAAATATGCCAATATTCGCGAATATGTTTTGATATTTTGATATTCGTATGCGCTGTTGCAAAATTGATGCGAATATCAGCGTTCGAAAAAAAAAATAAAAATGTAAATAATATTGGGTAAATTAAACAAAGATGTATAATTTTTAAGTTAATTCTAGTCCTGCAATTATATCAATAGCAATGAAGGGTCCAGAAGAAAAACTTGATAAGCGACTAAATCTTAATTTTAGAATTTTACAATATTATAGAAGGTTCTACCTGGTCCTTACATCAGGTATAAACTCTGCAGGGCAATAATTTGTTAAATCCTATGATATATGCCTATATGCCTAGTAAAAATATAAAATTCTTCACCAACCATCCAATGCTCTTCTGTAAAGTTAGTAAAATGGCGCTTATCATGTTTTTCCCTGGACTCTTCAATTATATTAATTGTAATAACATTCACTTTAATATGTGGTATTGGTTCGGTATTACAATTAGCCAACAATAGATAGAAATTGAAATTAGTATTCAAAAAATATGTATATTCTTTTAACCTTACATCAATATTACATATTTATTTTGAAATGAAAATTGAAAGTAATTATTTTGTTTATGAAATTAAAAAAAAATAATAACTAAAAAAATTTTCTCTATTACAGCGCTTTCAGATGGAGCGGAGCGTCCGCGCGTACCGTCCGCGACTCCGAACAAGATTATATGAACAATTTCACATGGGTCGCGTATGCTCCGTCCAGATGATTTCGTCCGACGGTTATCTTGAAAAAACACGCGGAGCATCCGCGCGGACGCTCCATTCCATCTGAAAGCGCTGTTAAACACGGTTGATAAAAAAACATACCGGGTGCCTTTCAAAAGTGGCTAACCCCTATAACTTTTTAATTTTTTTTAGATAAAAAAAGGAGATTTGATGTGTTGGTATATTACAAAAATTAGGATTGCTTAATGTATTCAATTCTTTTCGGCCACTTCCTGTTTCACCGGAAACGACTACAACTTTTGATTTTCAAATGACACCCTCGGTATTTTTATTTTACTTTATTCGATAGAAAATGATATTCTGAATAGAATGAAATATCATATGTCAACTTTTGACATTTTCAAATTATATTTTAAATTTTTAATCTGAGCGCTTATTAGGATTGATTGATGTATTCAATTGTTTTCGGCCACTTCCTGTTTCACAGGAATTGCCTACAACATTTTTTTTTACTTTATTCGATAGAAAATGACACCCTGAATCCAATGACATATCATATGTCAACTTTTGACATTTTCGCTTAATTGTATTTTAAATTTCAATCTAGAGTGCCATGGCTGTGTTAAAAATACTAGTTTTTTTTTAATCAAGGAGCCTTGAAAAAATTGATTTGATTGTCTAATGTTTTTCGTGTCTTGTCTTGCCCGGTTAAAAGATGCCCAAATCGTATTTTTAATCATATCTCAATTTTTTCAAATGGAAAGAGGATGGCTCATTAGCATATTTGCAAAAACCATTTTTTATGAATAATTTGGTAGCACAAATTTTGACATTTCGAGTCAAATTGTCGTTATGAATCGCATGTTGCAATTTCAAGTAAACCAAACTAACCAAACCAAACCCAAACCGTATTCGAAAATGTAAAAAGTTGATATATGATCAATATCATTCTATTCAGAGTGTCATGTTCTATCGAATAAAGTAACAAAATACCAAAGGTGCCAAAATCAAAAGTTGAAGTCATTTTCGGTCAAACATAGGAAGTGACCGAATACAATTGAATACGTCAATCAATCCTAATTTATGTCATACTAACATACCAAATCTCGTTCTGTAATCTAAAAAAAAAATAAAAAAGTTATAAGGGTGAGTCATTTTTGAGACGCACCCGGTATACATTCAACGTATAATAATTAAATAGGTTTGAATAATAATTAAATTTTTGTCAATCAACAGTATGTTCACGGATTGTCTTTACAAGAGGAAAAACTTTTTTATTATTGAATTTTTGGTAAAAATGCATTCTTCATAAAAATTGTTGCGGTTAATTCCGTTTATATTTTTACAAATTTTCATACCGTAGAGAAAATTAAAAAAAAAACATGCAAATATAGTTGCCCTAAAAATCAAAACGCGTTTCTATGGTAATATAATTTCCTTTTAATTCTCTTAGATTGTTATTGATAGAATTTTAATTAACGTCGCCGTCGTAAAAACTCTTAACAAATGGGTTGTATGAAAAACCATGTATAATATATCAATGTATACAGTGTCTGTAAAAAGTTTGCAACCAAATTATAGTTTTGCATAAACCAAGTATGATGGCGGCAATTAAAAAAAAAAGTTTATACGTATACACAAAAAAATGCTTCTTAGTACATGGCAATATTTGTATTTTTTTAGATTTATAAAAACTTACCTGGAACCAGTGACTAGCGTAAAGTTAGGTGCAAAATCGCAGGAATTTATATCGCTAAAATGTCCTTTTAGAGTCTGCAATATATTGGCGTCTCTTCCAGTAAAACCATTTAAAATTGACATTGTCCCTAAAAAAAGAACGAAAACTCAAACTTCAGACTGCATAAATTTATGTGTGTATGTTTTGAGCTCAATAAAAAGTAAAACAACGCACGATACCTCATCTTGATATTGTAATACGGACTATAAATCTAGTAAGATATAAACGTTGAATATGACACAAACGTTAATATACAAAGTGTAAATATTATTATAATGGCATGAATGGCGTATATTTTTCATGCGAGGTCTACAAACTTGATGTTTATCGATGCACTAGAAAAATGGAGATATAGATATATTAAAAATAATCATCTATAAAAAAGGCATATTTTTTTTTCGAAATATAACCGTCTCTCAGACGGCCTCTACCAGTGGCGGATACAGGGGGAGTGCCCATGGGGCCCGGGCCCCCCCTAAAGTCTGTGAATTGTGTAAAACATTAGGCTTTTGGGTTAAAAATGGCGTCCTAAAAAGCATAATCTACATTGCTTCTCATTTTGGACTCCCCCTAAAATAAATTCCTGTATCCGCCCCTGGCCTCTACAATATTCGCGAAATGCCTCGCGAAATAAGTCCGATGTAGGTCAAAGTCGAATAGTAGATGGTTAATCCCTATTTTCTCATTTCACTTTGTCTCGTCATGGCTTATTTTCATTTCGTAAAACCCCTTGAAACTACTCTTGAAATTGTGGAGAAGGACGAGTTCTTTTGGGGACTTTCGGTTGTCTCCTGTTATCTCGTTCAATTTCGTGTTGTCTCTACTATCAGCTAAAATTACATATACTATCGTATTTAATTTTTTTGAAAATACGCGCTATGTTAAATTGTAAGAAAGCGCCCCCTAGCCCCTAGCGTCTACGTTCAAAACCTTATTATTATTATTTTTATGGTATAGTATTGAGTAAGAAACGCTCTTTTAAACAAGCCCTCGTTTGTTGGATTCTGATCATCTAGTCTGGAGTTATTAACATTTAAATAAAGATAGATCTAACCTTCCCCCACCACTTTATTTTAGCAGATAGAGGAAAATGGTTCTAACAAAAAAACTCCAAAATTTACTGAAGATTATGAAGCTATTATTTATAGTACCCAGTATCTAGGGAAAATTATGTAAAAATTCTATTTTCTTATTTTCCACAGCTGTTGCGCCCTCTAGCGGCCGTTTTCGCAATTCCTTTGCAGCAATTTCTCATAGCCCCTTTAGTTATAAATATTTTTTTCCGTAAGCCCTACGGCTAATACTTTCCGAGATACAGCCGAGAGATATTCTTAGTGTGAAACCCTGTACAGGGTGGGTCTAATTCGACGCTTTTAAATGGAAACACCCTTTTCTATAGGAGATAGACGAAAACTAATATCGGTGTCTGGAGCTCAATTTTCATCAAAAACATGATGGTGAAAACCGCACATCAATATCTGTTACCGTTTCAGAGTTACGGGGAGTTTTTCAAAAATGTGCATTTTTTACAAATCGCTGTAACTTTTTTGCTATGGAAAATTTTGTATTTCTATGAAAACATTTCTAAAGCACCTTTTTACGTAGAATTTAATGGTTTAAGTATATTTTGTTTAAAATTAATAATTTAAGAGTTATCAACAGAAAAATTGATTTTTTATTTGTGACACCCTCTATATTTTTAATTAACTGAAAAGAATTTAAAATTACCTTTCCAAAAATATAGCACACTTGATATTTTGTTATAATCCCCTTCGAAATATAGAATATTTAAAAGTTCGCCCTTTTTAACTATTAGCCAGGCTATTAGGCTTTGGACCCCTTATTGATGATATGCCCTTAATGGAACTCGAAAACATATTTTTCCAGCAAGACGACGCACCGCCTCAGAATGCTGAAGTTATCAGCAAATTTTTGTAGCCAATTTCAAGAATAATTGAATAACTAACCAAGATCCCAGCCGTTGGCCGTCGAGGCCGCCTGACTTACGGCCGTATTCATAGTCGAGCGCCAGCCGCCCGCCGAAAAGAAGCGCCCGCCGAAGATTTCTTCGGCGAGCGCTTCGATATCGGGAGAGAAAAAAAGCTCTTTCATAGTCAGCCGCCAGCGCACAAAGGAGTATTTTTTAGATCTAGCTAGCGAAAAGTGATTTCCGAAAATCGCGCGTAGATAAAAAGATACGGTTCTCAAGCAATGCCAGAGAGACCCCCCGCTCCGAACCCAGTGTTTATGGTGCCTCACTCCACCCTAAAATCGAATGCATCAATCGGTTTTCGGACGTTAAACAGCCTTAATTGTTTCGAACTGTTTTCTGTGTGAAAAACGTGACTTTTAGAAGTGTTGTATATTTTTGGTGTATTCTCAAGACTAAAATCTCATGGATTCTGAAATGGCAGGTAATTTTACCTTCATTTCCATATTAGCTGTGATATTAGTGTTTTTATTTATTATCGGTTTCTTATGCGTTTATTCCTTTATATTAAAAAATCCTGTACTTTTGTCTGTGTTATGAAAAGATATTATAACTGAAAGTGTTTTGTTGTACTTCAGGGTTCGTCCCGGTAATGATTTTTGTAGAGATGATAAATTAACACTATTCCCTTCCTAAAAATCATATATTCAAGGTCCACTATGCTCCACCTATTAATTAATTAAATATTTAAAGCGAAAAGTTTTGCGAAATGTAAAAAAAATAATAATCTCCTGCTGATCTGGTGATACTTTTTATGGTCTGTTGCATTCAAGTTATTAGTAATTTTGCATTTTCCTTTATTTTAGGACCATCTGGCATTAGGGCAATGACTCGTAGAGAAATATTTGACTTGATGAGTGCACAAAATCGCCTCGATATTAACGAGAAGTTAGAATTTGTCGAAAATCATTTTGCAACATTGGAGCCTTATAGCGACGAACAAATTAAGGAAATAAAGCATAAATTTTCATATGTAAAGTCCGAAATAAAGCGTCACTGGATTGCAGCAAAACAACGACTACACCTATTCGGGAAAAATAATCAGACATGGCTAAGGGGAGTGTTTGAGCTGCCAAAGTTACAGACAAAGCCAGGACGACCGAAAAAGTTATTTGAAGAGGCTAGCGAACGAACGAAAAGACGCAAGACTGAAGAACTTCGATTGTCTGATAGTCCTAGTAAAATTATTTATGCATTTATCTTAGTACCTACCAAAATTATATTCTGTAAAGTAATAATATCGCACATTTTTTTTAATATACGTAGATTTAACCAAAATATAGTATTTTGAAACGATTTTCAGTGTTAAATAATTTTGGCCAGGTAGATCCAGCAAATACTCCTCTGTGCAGCGAACCGCTGGCTGGCGAAAATGACGGCGCGTCGCCGACAAAATTTCACTTCGGGTGGAGGTTTTTAACAACAGGGAACATTTGTTCTTCCTTTTTCTACACAAAATCGGTTAGACAAACTTTAACATTCTCTAAATATTTAAATATTAATAATTTAAATATTTTATTGATATTGGATAATTTAGATATTTTATTGTGTCCATTATTTTGTTATAATTGGTTTTAAAGTAATGAATAATATCTTTGTAATCTTTCACTTATAGTAAAAAGATTTACACATTTAAAATTTTTTATATCCATATTTTTTTGGCTAGGTATATTTTTGGGTCATAATAAAAAGTGTATTCAGTTAATAAATTTATATAATAGGTAATTCCGTAGGTCTGTTCGGTTATTTGAAAGTTTTATGGATTCGTCTTTATTATATTTATAAATTTTGATAACTGATGTTTTGTGAATTTGTATATTTTTTCCAGTTTGTGTAAATTACAAAGAGAATTAATGTAATAAACGTAAAAACAATAGGAAAAATAAAAAAAAATATAAACATAACAAAAACAAAACAATAAAACATTTAAATGGTCAAATAGACGAACGGAGTTCATATGCCTGAAATGTAATGAATAATGTCCTCAAACATATGAATGTCATCGTTCTCGTCGATTTCTGCATTTAATCGTCACAATATTATAAATATCCATAATCAATTCAGTTTGCTTGGTGCTTCTTTCAATTAGAGAAATAAACCAGACTAAACTGGCGGGCCGCCCGGAGATGGTAAGGACATGCTCCAGTCGCCGGCCGAAAATCACCGGATGGGATTTAAACTGCGCAAGTGTTCTTCGCCTGGAGATCGACTATGAAACGGAAAAAAAGTGCTTATCCAACCGCCCGCCGGCGAGAGAACGGTTACTCTATATGACGGATGTGCGCACGCGTTACTCGGAGAGCGCTCGACTTTGAAATAAGAATGAAGAATTTCGGGAAAGCTCCCGCCAGCGGGCGGCTGGCGGCCGACTATGAATACGACTGTTAGTGCCCATGGATCTAATCCTATGGATATATTTGCGGAAGAATAAAGGTTCCTTATTCTTCGGTATAATCTAGACAAGAATTAGAAATACTTAGCAATTGTGAGAGCTGTCACTCCCACTGAGTTAATGAATTCCGCGAGAAATGTTCAAAAACGGCCCCGTCTGTCCATAACAGAAGACGATCGATATGTCGAACACCTGTAGCAAAATCTCATGTCTTGGTTTGCTATTTATTTTTATTGTTATTAGATATAGTTTAAATGTGTTGATGTTGGTTAAATATATTTTATTTTGTTATAAAATTCTTCATCTCTCATAGCAAATATTATTTTCGTTATAATTGATTCTCACAGCTGGAATTTTTGTACACTACAGCCGGTGTCGTTCAAAGCCTACTTATTTAAAGCGAGCGAATTTTTATATACTCTATATCTCGAAGAGGAATCGAGCAAAATATCAAGTGTATTGTTACGTTTTTCGTCGGTTCCGTGTGGATAGAAAGTGACAATTTATTTAAACACTATTTATTTAACACTAATTAACAAAAACAATAACGATGAAAGACTTATAGAACTATTTACAAACGATTTATAACTAAGAATTTATTTTGAATTTTTGCGCGTCAACTGCACTTGTCTATTTATAACTGCCCCCTGTAGGCCACAGCCACCGGCTTTTATACCGACAGGTAAAGAACTCTAGAATAGTCCATAGATCGTTAGGTGCATAGAGAAGGTTTCGATTGTTCTCGTATGTACTACTCCATTCCAGTAGAACTCGATACTTCTCGAATCTTCGAATGAATCATTACGGTGTCTATGCGATGTTAAGGTCATCCGAGGGCGGGCCATATTGTTAGGTTAGGTCGAGTCCACACCGGTCCGCAACACTGCCCCCTTCTTAGGTACATGCTCGTCCCGAGATGTACACGGTGAATGAAGGTATTTGCAAAGCTGGCCCCTGGTACATTGCGAAGTCTGGTAGAAATAGCAGTCTACAGTTTTCTCTCCCGATCTCAGCTTTGGGTTGTAGCAGCAAACGAGGATCTCGATTCCCGTAAATCTGAACAAGACTTCAATCATGTTCCGGATTGTACGCCAACTCAAACCATCGAGTCCACACGCCAGCTTCGGAATGGCTAATCGTGCAATGTTGTTGTTTAGCAGGGCTTCTCTCAGTTCAATCAGGGTCTTCCATAGATTGAGATAAGTCGGCTTACTCGGGGACCATTCCTTGGTGACCAGGTAGAAGATGTGCCTTGCTTGACCATGTGCATTGTCGGTTAGCCTCAAGACGCTTCCAACCTCTGGATCCTGTCGGCGTAGTTCTCCGACACGCCCAAACTTCTCATTGAACGTCGCAGCGATTCCTCTGGACATCCGCAAATCTCGAGCCACACAATGAGCGAGCGAATAATCAGGAGGCACGGAAAAGAGGTCTCGTTGATCTTCTTTGGTTACACCATAGCGAGCCTTCTCACTGCTGTTGTATCGGGCCATGAAATCGTCAAAGGACATCTCCGAATCAGGGGGATCAAAGCTGCAGGTTCTCACGGTCCCAGCACGATCTTCTATTTCGCCTTGGTAGGGGCTCAAACGGTTGAAATGGACTACCCTCGGTTTTCCTTTTGGCAATTTTCTGATACGGTATACGACGTCATTAATTCTATCCATGACTTCGTATGGCCCTTCCCACGAGGATTGTAGCTTCGGAGATAACCCACGACGTCTCTGCGGGTTATATAGCCACACCAACTTCCCTGGTTGGTATCCTCCATGCTCAGCTTGAATGTCGTAGTGTTCCTTCATTCGGTCACTAGCACTTTGAATATTTAGGCGGACTCTCTGATGAATGTCGTCCATCCTTTGACGTAGTGTGTGGACATAATCTTCTCCGGCGACTTCTTCTCCCGGTCGGCAACCAAATTTCAGATCACAGGGTAGGCGCACTTCCCGTCCCATAACGATGCTGGCTGGAGTTTGCCCTGTAGATTCTTGGACGGATGAACGGTAGGCCAACAGGAACAGGTGAAGAAATTTGTCCCAGTCTCTTTGGTGGTCAGAGACTACTTTGGCCAGATAACGGTTGATAGTTCTGTTCATGCGTTCAACCATCCCATCGGATTGTGGATGTAGAGCAGTCGTCCTGGTCTTGCGGATGTTCAGGACTTCACAGACGCCTTGGAACAGATTGGACTCAAAGTTTCTTCCCTGATCTGAATGAAGCTCCATGGGAACACCAAACCTGCAGATCCATTCTTTAACAAGGGCATCAGCAATCGTGGACGCTTCTTGATTTGGCAACGCGTAGGCCTCGACCCATTTGCTGAAGTAATCCATTACTACCACAATGTATTTGTTGCCATCGTTCGTCTCCGGGAAAGGACCAGCCACGTCGATCGCTATTCGTTCGAAGGGACTACCAACATTGTACTGGCGCATAGGGGCTTTACCACGCTTTTGTGGCCCATTAATGGCTGCGCAAATGTCACATTTCTTACACCAGGCCCTCACATCTTCTTTGCAGTTCACCCAGTAGAACCGTTCACGCAGCTTGCCAAGTGTCTTGGTAACACCAAGATGTCCACCGCTGGTTCCATTGTGAACTTCCTCCAAGACTTCTGGGACCCTCTTCTTTGGAATGACGATCTGCCTTCTCTCTTCTTGTCCCTCCGGTCTCTCGATCACACGGCGAAGTAGTCCGTTATCTATTACCAAGGAATTCCACTGAGCCCAGTACGACTTTACGTTCGGCGAATATCTGCAAACTTCCTGCCACGTTGGTCTCTGGTCCGCGTTTTTCCAGTTAATCACCAAGCCCAACTCTGGATCACTGATTTGGTCATTTGCAAGATCTTCGGTTTGCCAACTATCACCAACCACAGTCGTCCTTAAGACTTTCACTTCTTTCTCTTCTTTGCAACGATTTCCCATCTGTCCGCAATTCCAACAGCGAATCGGTCCCCCCTTCTTGCTCATATACTGATCCAGTACTTTCCGCACAATCCTTTCCACTTTGGAATCGTCGGAACTCTCCTCAACAGCCCGTACAAATCCTAGAGACCTAGAGCATTCTTTCGCGGCCTCAAATTCCAGGGCACGTGCTAGGGCATCTCCCAAATGCGTTGGATGAGCTAAAAGAAGTGTTTGCCTTGTCTCGTTGTCACGTAAACCATCAATAAAATCCTGTACTGTTAAGCGCTCCATAACATTTTCGGGCATAGCGGGGTACGCAAGGCGAACGAGGCGGGCTACGTCGGCTTCAAACTCCTGCAGAGACTCATTTGACTTTTGAATGCGATTTTTTAGCTGGGAATGATAGACATGTTCCAAATGAGCTTGACCGTACCTCATTTCTAAATGTCGTACCAATTGCTGATAATCTCCTTGTTCCGATGGTGACAGTGTCTGCAGGATATCAGTCGCATCTCCTCGCAGTGCGACAGTCAAAGCGGTAGCCTTTTCAGCGATTGTCCATCCGTTCGCTCTCGCAGCGGCCTCAAACTGGCAAAAATAATTGGCCCAAGCGGTTTTTCTGTCAAACTGTGGAGGTTTCATAACTGATTTTGAGGTATACCTATTTTCGACTAGTTTCGGTCCCTCCGATGTTTCTTGACATTTTGGTGAATTTGACTTCGTTATTTCTTCCCGTAAAATTGCGATTTTTCTGTTTACATCATCTTCAATTTGTGTTATTTTGTCTTGTAGTTCCGTAGAATTCTCTATAATTTCTGTTATCTTTTCTTCTAAATTAATTATTTTATTATTAAAGCTGGCCTGTATGTCTTTAGAATTTTCTGATCTTATCTTCTAAAATATTAATTTTATCACTGATTTTCTCTTCTAAATTAACTTCCAAGTCAATTATTTTACTATTCAAATTGTCTTCTAATTTTTGTAAGGACGAGTCAAGGTCACCTTCCAACTCAAAGCAAAATGTGTCAGGATCCTCACCTTCCTCAATCAAAACGTCTCTCAGTCTGGCTTGCAAAATGCTTTTCTTTCCATCTGTCTCGCATTCCCTCTCTTCCAGTATGCATTTTAATTCCGACACTTTCAGGTCTTTCAATAATTTTTTCGAAGCCATCGAAGCTCTAGTCTATCACACACGCCACACTTGACACCAATTGTTACGTTTTTCGTCGGTTCCGTGTGGATAGAAAGTCACAATTTATTTAAACACTATTTATTTAACACTAATTAACAAAAACAATAACGATGAAAGACTTATAGAACTATTTACAAACGATTTATAACTAAGAATTTATTTTGAATTTTTGCGCGTCAACTGCACTTGTCTATTTATAACTGCCCCCTGTAGGCCACAGCCGCCGGCTTTTATACCGACAGGTAAAGAACTCTAGAATAGTCCATAGATCGTTAGGTGCATAGAGAAGGTTTCGATTGTTCTCGTATATACTACTCCATTCCAGTAGAACTCGATACTTCTCGAATCTTCGAATGAATCATTAAGGTGTCTATGCGATGTTAAGGTCATCCCAGGGCGGGCCATATTGTTAGGTTAGGTCGAGTCCATACCGGTCCGCAACAGTAGGTATTATATTTTTGGAAAGGTAATTTTAAATTATTTTCAATAAATTAAAAATATATATAAGAAATCAAATTTTCGTTTGATAATTCTTAAATTATTAATTTTAAAAAAATTATACTTAAACCATTACTACGTAAAAAAGGTGCTTAGGAAATTTTTTCATAAAAATACAAAATTTTCCATAGCAAAAAAGTTACAGCGATTTGTTAAAAATGCATATTTTTGAAAAACACCCCGTAACTCCGAAACGGTAACAGATATCGATATGCGGTTTTCACCATCATGTTTTTGATAAAAATTGAGCTCCAGACACCGATATTAGTTTTTGTCTATTTCCTATAGAAAAGGGTGTTTCCATTTAAAAGCGTCGAATTTGACCAACCCTGTACAAGTACAGAGTCGTCAGAGTCCGCCCTAATGCATATCTCACTCACAATTATTTGAAAAAAAATATACATATTATAAAAATATACCTAAAAATTGTAAAAAAAAATAATTCAAATAAGATTACAGATAAGGCATAAATCCGTCATTCATATTAAAAAAATTATATTTAAAAAAATAAATAAAAAATTACAAATTTGCGAATATACAGTATGTCCCCGGATCGTCTTTACAAGAAGGAAAACTTTTTTATAATTGACATTTTGAGAAAAATGCAATCTTGATAAAAAAATTGTTTGTTCTAAAATGGTTAATCCCGTTTACAGTTTTCCAATATTCCATACCGTTTTAGAGAAAATTAATAAAATATGGCAATATTGTTAAATTTTTTGCGATAACAGTCCTAAAAATCAAAAGGCGTGTTTCTATGGTAATATAATTTCGATTCCATTCTTTGATAGAGTAAATCACATTTCCCCAATAACTATTATCACCCTTTCCGTAACATTGAACTAAACAAATGTTTCTTTAACATATTAAAAAAGCAAAAAATTTGACGTTAGTTAACATTCCAGCAATAGCAATCTATCAAAGAATGATAACGAAATTATATTACCATAGAAACTCGACTTGATTTTTAAGACTTAAAAAAAATCAACTATATTTTCATGTTTTTTTTTAATTTTCTCTAAAACGGTATGGAAATTTTGAAAAGTCTAAACAGGATTAACCATTTTAGAACAATAACATTTTTTGATGAAGCCACTTTTCTCAAAATGCCAATATTAAAAAAGTTTTTCCTCTTGTATAGCCAATCCTGGGACATACTGTATAGTAAATATAAAAAATTGTACATATACTAAACTTTAAAATTAAACCGATAAAGAACTCACCTGGTCATTCGATGGAAAACGGAAGTTGCTGACTGCTGACCAACGGGTGTCTAATATTTCCGCTGTTCACAGACTGTGTCAACAAGTAGCAAGCTGGACTTTCTGACCTAGAGTAAAATAATTTATTAAACGTCATGATCGCTATGGAAACTCATGAAAACCATTATTTTTTTCAGTGGCGTGTTCAGCCGTAACAAACGGATAATGATATTTATTCATTATGATGGATAAAAAAAACAAAAAACCGCAAATAGGTATTTTTTAGATAATTAATCTTTACTTATTCATATTCCAACATTAGCGTGGGTGCTTATATTATTATACTAGAAAAATACATATTTACACTGGTTTCTTTATTTCTAATTAAAAAATTGCCATTAAAACAAATTTATAATTTGACATTAATATTTTACCTTAAGTGCAATCTTCACAAATGTGTAATAATTAATAAAAATTATACTAGGATAGAAAAAAAGGCCTCAGAGTTGGGTTGGAAACGAAGATCGTTATCATTTTAAACTAAATGTAAAACTACGAAGTACAATAACTGTATAGTGAATGACATCGATCGTCATTTCCATAATCCAACTTGTAGCCGTTTTTTAATTCACGAAATTTGACTGTTAAAAAAGCTGAAAGATTTATTGCCGTACCTATAGTCGGTACTTGAGCCGACCTCAGGCTTGAGTACGGTCTTAATGAAAAATGCGTACTATAGAGGAGACTTGAACAAAAAAGCGGCCAACTGCGTACCTATAGTCCGATCTCAGACTTGAGTCGAACTTAGCCAAGCCATACTCAAGACTCGAGATTCCGTCTCTACGCATGCGCAGCTTGTCGCTTTCTTGATCAAATCTCCTCTATAATACGCATTTTTCATCTAAGACAGTGCTCAAGCCTGAGGTCAGCTCAAGTACCGAGGCTTGACCAAGAAAGCGGCAAACTGCCCATGCGTAGAGACGGAATCTCGAGCCTTGAGTATGGCTTGGCTAAGTTCGACTCAAGTCTGAGATTGAGATCGGACTATAGGTACGGCAATAAGTCATTTTACTGACTTAACTTGCAGAGAATCATGATTTAAGTCAAAGATATAGACTTAAGTCATAAAAAGGACTTAAATAACGTTATATTGATTTAAGTGTTTACAAAAACGACTTGACTTGAAATAAACTGATTTAGGTCAAAGGCTTAAGTTTGCCGTACCTATAGTCCGATCTCAATCTCAGACTTGAGTCGAACTTAGCCAAGCCATACTCAAGGCTCGAGATTCTGTCTCTACGCATGCGCAATTTGCCGCTTTCTTGATTAAGTCTCCTCTATAGTACGCATTTTTCATTTAAGACCGTGCTCAAGCCTGAGGTCGGCTCAAGTACCGACTATAGGTACAATAAATTTAAACTTTATGTTGAAATTGACTTATTAATTATTTAAATCATTTTAATTTTAGAAATGACTTGAGACTTAAGAATTAAGTCTTTTTGAAACTGACTAGTTGCAGCTCTGCTAGTTACTAGTAATATAAATTTACTTTTTTATAAATATTCATACTCATACCATAGCACAAAGATACAGCTCAATCCCCGGGGCTACCCCTGACTAAATATAAAATATATAAAAACCTTTTACAATCGATAGACAGTTGAAAGTGACGTGGTCTTAACAAACAAAGGAAATATTTAACAAGTTTATTATTTCCTCTGGTATTGCTATTGAACCTAAAATCTATAAAGCAATTCGAATACTACATTTTCTCTATCGAGTTACGGTAATTACAGTAGAAGAAATCACGGTATTATTTAAAATCAAACGTATTAAATAATAACACATATCCAAAAGTTAAAATAAATTATTAAACATTAACCGTCTTTTTGTTGCCAAGGCTAATCTGACCGGTGCGTACTTTGTTCACTCAGAGTCTGAACTGAGGTACTCAGCCATACGATAACCTGTCTAAATCGAGTTTTACTCACGAGGGATCAGATCTCATACTATCTCATCCGGGCCCTAAGCAGTGTGAATAACCACTGCATCTCAGTCAGTGATGGGCGGTGGGTAAATATCCAATGGGAATAATAGAATATCCAAAGAAATTTAGGTATATACCTGGTATATGCCCAGAAGGTGTTAAGCATACAGGGTGGTGACAATTTCATTGTCATCAACATTGACATCTCAGAAAGTACGCGAGATACGAAATCGGTTAATGGGACAAAAGTTGCGTAATTAGAAGTTTGACAAACACCTATGAAGAAAACCCCTGTATCTTGATTAGTTTCGGATTTATGTCAAAAAAATGAAAATAATGCCTTTATTTTAAATGAGAATATCTTCAGAACTATTGTATCTATTGCAACGTAAGTTGGTAGTTTTATATTTTTAACCTCGGCCAATTAAATGCCGTTTTCAGAAAATTTCTAAGCCTTCTAGATTTCGCACAACAGTCAAGTTATTTTTTTCTTATGGCCGCCATTTTGAATTTTTATACTATTAGATAGAGCGGAAAAAAGTCTATACGGTGGTATCTAATTTTTATTCATTATTATGTAAATTTACTAAAAAAATTGATTTTTTAAAAATTCGCCTAAGATCAAGTCTGCCTTGGAAATCCAATTGACACTTTATATGTCAGCAAGTTATTTTTTGTTTATTCTATTGTATTCTATTGTATATATAAGTGTCAAATCTGAACGCACAAAAATTGTATAGCAGAGGCCAAAATACAGGTCAATACAGAACCTAAAATTTTATTGCCGAGAATGCCAGCCCAGATGCTCAAAGAATATCTTATTTGTGGTCTGGTTTCTCATATAAATGAGAATTTTCTTTTCCATAATAATGTGATTTTTTTCTGTTAAATGTACCAGAATTTGTAAATAAAGATTCATCCGTCACTAATATTTTTGTAGAAAAAAGGCGGCTCTCTTGAACACTTTCCCGAAACTATTTGCAAAATTATAATCTTCTCTCGTGATCACCAGCATGTAAAAATGTAAACTTGGTACAAATTTAAATTAAAAGTTGCGATATTTATGTTTTTTGATCACTTACGCAATACTTGTGACCTAATTTACGGCTAGAAGTTTCCTGATTTATTTCAATCTAAACTGGTACATTAATATCATAAGCTTTTTTAAAATATCTCTCTTTAAAACCTCTTGTTTTTTAAAGCTACCAGCAACTGCTAAATTTCTCGAAATCCTTGCGAAAATAGTACCACGAGGCTGTGTCCTTTCAGGATACAATGTCACAACAATGTTCTATAACTTGCGCATGCCATATCGAAATTTCTATTATTTTTTAAGTAAACATCACTTTACACTATCTACTATAATTTTTTGTGTCCAGATTTGATACTTAATAGAGTAAACCAAAATTAACTTGCTGTCATATAAAGCGTCAATTGGATTTCCAAGGCAGATTTGATATTTTGAGCGAATTTTTAAAAAATCTAATTTTTTTGGTGAATTTACAAAATAATGAATAAAAATTAGATACCACCGTATAGATTATTTTTTGCTCTATCTGATAGTATAAAAATTCAAAATGGCGGCCATAAGAAAACAAAAACTTAACTGCTGTTGTGCGAAATCTAGAAGGCTTAGAAATTTTCTGAAAACGGCATTTAATTGGCCGGAGTCAAAAATGTCAAACTACCAACTTACGTTGCAATAGATAAAATAGTTCTGAAGATATTCTCATTTAAAATAAACGCATTACTTTCATTTTTTTTACATAAATCCGAAGCTAATCAAGATACCGGGGTTTTGTTCATAGGTGTTTGCCAAACTTCTAATTACGCAACTTTTGTCCCATTTAACCGAATTAGTATCTCTTGTAGTTTCTGAGATGCCAATGTTGGGCATCGAAATTGTCACCACCCTATATACCCATTGAGAGTATATTTCGTAGAAAAAAACACCTTTATAAAATTCGACTAAGATCAAGACTTGGTCTTGGTCTTGCGCAAAACGTTTGCAAATCTTGCCTTTTTTAATAGATTTTTACTAGGTGTACTTTCTACATAATATAAAATAAATAGTATTTTTTGTAATTTAATAATTTGTTTTAATAATTAAATTTAGCTTTGAAAACCGTTCTTGATAATCTAGAGATGCCTGGTCACTGTACAATGTTTTAGAATCTACTTGATTACGGTTATAAATATCAGAAAAGTATTTTTATATACCGGGTGGATCTCAAAAGTGGATTATTCCTATATAACTTTTTATTTTTTCAGATAAAAAAAACGAGATATGGTATGTTAGTATATGACATACGAGTAAATTAGGATTGATTGAGGTATTCAGTTCTTTTCGGCCACTTTTGCACCAGAAATGACTACAACTTTTGATTTTCAAATAGTACCCTCGGTATTTTTCTACTTTATTCGATAGAAAATGACATTCTGAATAGAATGATATATCATATGTCAACTTTTTACATTTTCGCTTAAAACAAAATTGTATTTTAAATTTCAATCTAAAATGCCATGGCTGTGTTAAAACACTAATTTTTAATCAAAGAGCCTTGGAAAAATAGATTTGATCATCTAACGTTTTTAGTGTCTTGTCCTGGCCGGTTAAAAAATGCCCAATGCAAATCGTATTTTTAATCATATCTCAATTTTTTGAAATGGAAAGAAGGTGGCTTATTAGCATATTTGGAAAAAGCATTTTTTATGAATAATTTGGTACCACACGCTTGGTACTTCGAGCCAAATTGTCGTTACGAATCGCATGTGCAATGTCAAATAAACCATATTAAAAAATTTCAAAAGTTGACATATCTATCGAATAATGTAACAAAATACCGAAGGTACCATTTAAATATCAAAAGTTTTAATCATTTCCGGTGAAAGGGGAAGTGACCGAAAACAATTGAATAGGTCAATCAATCCTAATTTATGTTATATACTAACATACCAAGTTTCGTTTTTTTATCTGAAAAAATAAAATTTGGCGCCGGGAGAAAGCCAGAGAAAATATGTTAATAAAAAGTTGGTAGGCAGTTCTTTTAGTTTCAAAGTAAAGGAATTTTTCCAATTTTTTTTATCTCAAAAACTGCGACTTTGACTGATTTTGATGTTACTACAAATTTTGTTGCAAAT